CATTGTGACTGTTGTGAATCAAAATGAATATGACATCACTATAATGAGAGCTATGTGTGTTCCTGGATTAACAACGAATCTCCTGTCGGTAAGTCAATTGATAAGTAATGGTAATAAAGTTAAATTTGAACAAGAATGCTGTAAGATTTATAACAAACAAAATGTACTGATAGCTATAGCAGACTTAATTAACAATGTTTATAAATTGAGAATCAAAAGTTTTAAAAATTTTAACCTAGAGAACCAGTGTTTGTTAACATCTTCAATGGCAAGTGCTAGTAGTGAAATATGGCATCGTCGTTTAGGCCATATTAACTACAAGGATTTGTGCAAGTTGCAGGAAGGTATTGTTGAAGGTATGATTTTTAAAACTAAAAAAAATACTACAAATGCATGTATTGTTTGCTGTGAGGGTAAACAGTCCCGAAAGTCTTTTAAACATCATGGCACAAGAGCAAGTGTTTTGTTAGAACTTGTGCATGCTGATGTTTGTGGCCCAATGGAGAATAGATCACTTGGGGGCTCAAAATATTTTCTTCTTTTTGTAGATGATTATAGTAAAATGGTTTTTGTTTATTTTTTAAAGTATAAGTCTGAAGTTTTCGAAAAATTTCAGGAATTTAAGACTTTGGTAGAAAATCAAAAAGGTAAGAAAATGAAAATAATCAGATCAGATAATGGTGGAGAATTTTGCAGTAACGATTTCGAAAGTTTTTTATTAAAAAATGGTATTGTGCATCAAAAAACTAATTCTTATACTCCAGAACAAAACGGCGTTGTTGAAAGAATGAATCGTTCCATAGTTGAGAAAGCAAAATGCTTATTATTTGATGCTGATTTGGAGAAAAAATTTTGGGCGGAAGCTGTTAATACCGCAGTTTATTTAAAAAACAGATCGGTTGCCTCAGGATTAGGTGATAAAACGCCATATGAAATATGGAATGGTAGAAAACCTAATATTGAAAATATCAGAATATTTGGTAGTACAGCCATGGTCCACATACCCAAAGCAAATAGAACCAAATGGAAGAAAAAATCTAGAAAAATGATTTTGGTCGGTTTTGGCGAAAATACCAAAGGTTACCGAATCTATGATCCAAAAGATGGTTCTAGTATAACGAGCAGGGACGTTGTGGTAATGGAAAAGGCTGACGAAATCCCAGTTATAATAAACTCGTCGTCAGTGGGGGGTATTACCAAAGATAGCATTGAAGCTGGCATCTCGAATAGTACTGATATCAGTTCAGAATCAGAGTACAATTCAGTAAGGGATGAGGACGAGAAAGAAGTTCTTGATGAAATTGGCAGTGACACTAATGACGATTTTGTGGGTAATGATCCTATTGATCCTATACAAAATCAGACTTTGACTGACAAGGTACGTCACTCAAGTCGAGTGCCAAAACCAAAAAAAATTTGAGGACTTTGTAACTTATATGTGTGCGTCTGGTGAAATAGACGCTGACCCAATTAATGTAAATGAGACTTTATCAGGATCTGAAAACAAAAGAATGGCGGCAAGCAATGAAAGAAGAATACCAGTCATTTATAGACATTGATGCATGGGAACTTGTAGATATTCCAGATGATGCAAATATTGTGGACTGTAAGTGGGTGTACAAGAAAAAGAAAAATATTAACGGTAGTGTGCGTTATCGTGCTTGTAGCTAAAGGCGATACACAAAAGCCAGGTGTTGACTACGAAGAAAATTTTTCGCCAGTGGTAAGACACAGTACACTTAGACTTTTATTTGCTTTGTCAGTTGAATTAGATTTAGATATTAGTCATTATGATATCATGACAGCTTTTTTAAATGGTAATTTAAATGAAACTTTGTACATGACACAGCCAGAAGGTTTTCAGAGTTCAAAAAATGAAAGTAAAGTATGTAAACTGAAAAAGGCAATTTATGGCCTTAAACAGTCATCCAGAGTTTGGTACGAAAAAGTAGATGCAGTTCTCAAAGAAATTAATTACAAAAGGTCTGAATTAGAGCATTGTGTTTATATTAAAGCTAATGAAAATTATTTGACAATTATAGCTCTATATTATATGTAGATGATTTCTTTGTTTTCTCTAACAATTCTATCGAAACAGAATCATTAAAATCTACTTTAAGTAGCAAATTTAAATTGAAAGATTTGGGCGAGGCTAGAGAATGTTTAGGTATGAGAATTATCAGGAATAAAGAAAAGGGAATTTTAACTTTAGATCAGACTGAATATATAAACAAGATTCTCAAAAGGTTCAATATGAATACTTGTAAAACAATATCAACACCATTAGAAACAAATTTATATTTCAGTTTGCAAGTAGAAATTTCTAATAGAGATATTCCATATCAGCAGGCAATTGGTAGCTTAATGTATTTGGCAGTATTGACCAGGCCTGACATTTCTTATACCGTTAGTTTTATGCAATGAACTGTATACTGAGTATCATTGGAAATGTATAAAAAGGGTTTTCAAATATTTGCAGGGTACAAAGAATTTTGGTTTAGTTTTTAAAAAATCAAATAATATTAATAATAATGATTGTACTATTGAAGGCTTTGTAGATGCAGATTGGGCGGGCGATAAGCAAGATAGAAAATCATATACAGGATTTATTTTTAATCTTTTTGAAAATGCTATATCTTGGGAAAGCCGTAAGCAGAGAACTGTAGCTTTATCAAGCACAGAGGCCGAGTATATGGCAATTTCAGAAGCAGCCAAAGAGGCTATTTACCTGAAAAATCTTTTATGTGAACTAATGGGCAAATCAAATTGTGAAACTGTAAAATTATAATATAATGATAATTTGAGTGCCCAGAAACTTGCATCGAACCCAATGTATCACAAGCGTTCGAAGCATATTGATATACGCCATCATTTTATCAGGGAAGCTGTTTTTAATAAAAACATTGAATTGTCTTACGTTCCAACTGATGAAATGATTGCGGATTTAATGACAAAAAGCTTAGGTGTTTCTAAGCATAATAAGTTCATGAAAAATATAGGTTTGCAAGAAACTTGTTAGTTTTGATGTAGTGGGGGTGTTGTTCCTATACATCAAAGCAACAATATTTTGTCATGTAGGCATTGCATTGACAACCTTTATATTTATTTTTTGTCATGTCATGTGTTTTGGTAACATAGTTACAATATAAATAAAGTTAGTCGTTTTTTGAAGAATTATTTTGTCAACACGTTTATTTCTCAGGACTCCTAACTCTGCTTAACAAATATATATAACAATAACAATATAACAAATAGCGATGTTGTTACTGGTTTAGAGTAGAAGCGGCAACACCGCATAAACAAAAATATTTTTAAAGTGTAGATTATGGTCGCTTATCTCGGTTGCCAAATTTTCAAAATAATCCGCTTTTTAGTTTTCTTTCTACGTTTCTCCATTTTCCGATGCGATTTTGTTTTTTTCTGATAACGTTTAAAGAAAATATAGAAAAAAACTGTCAAGTTTTGTATTTAATTTTTTTTTTTCCTACATACAGGGTGTCCCACGGTGGATGGCGTATTAGACGTTTATGGAAAACTAAAAAGCGGATCATTTTGAAAATTTGGCAACCGCGATAAACGACCATAATCTACACTTTAAAAATGTTTTTGGAATGGAACACCTTATATGTGATTACATATTTGGATTCTACGTAAAATTCTGAGCAGATTTCATGTGATATACCCTATACCTAAGTTCAACTGTTTTGGAAATATTGACAGTTGAAAATTGACTTTTTGCAACTTTGACAGGCTGTAAAACCTGAACGGTTAATTTTAGAGAAAAACCGATTTTGCATTCCTATCTTAGATTTTTATAAACTATCATTTGATACCAACTTTGAATTTAACCGGAGATTAAATTTAATTGGAATTTTTAATCATGGATTAAATTTGAAGTTGGTATCAGATGATAGTTTATAAAAATCTAAGATAGGAATGCAAAATCGGTTTTTCTCTAAAATTAACCGTTCAGGTTTTACAGCCTGTTAAATTTGCAAAAAGTCAATTTTCAACTGTCAATAATTCCAAAACAGTTGAACTTAGGTATAGGGTATATAACATGAAATCTGCTCAGAATTTTACGTAGAATCAAAATATGTAATCACATACAGGGTGTTTTTTTTAAAATAGCGCTATTGCCACTGGTTTGGAGTAGAAGCGGCAACACCGGATGAACAAAAATATTTTTAAAGTGTAGATCATCGTTGTTTATCCCAGTTGCCAAATTTTCAAAATGATCCGCTTTTTAGTTCTCCATAAACGTCTAATACGCCATTCACCGTGGGACACCCTGTATATCTCTCTTTCTGTATAATACACGTTACTGGTCCTAAGTCCGTCTTTATCGCAAATCAAAAATAAAATTTACAAAAAAAAAAAAAAAAAATCTAGAATTTATTTCACAAATACGTTGAAGAAAATTTAACAGAAATTTCAGACAAAATGAAAATTTAAAAAAATATAATCATGTTTTTCTCTGTTTAGCACGCGCTTCTGGTCATAAGTCTATCTTTGTCGCACTCATTTGTCTTAAAAAACCGTACGTCCTAAATATTTTTCACAAAATTTTCGAAATCGATTTTGAAGATTCACCAACTTAAAATAAAGAAATATTAAGAATAGTTATTGAGACAAAATATCTGAGTAAAAATGCTACAGAAAATTTGACAAAAAAAAAAAAACAGAATGTATTCCACAAATATGCCTCTCTGTCTAGCACACACTTTTACTCATAAACCTATCTTTGTCGCACTCATTTGTCTTGAGAAAAGTACCTAAACGATATTTTCCAACAAAATTTATTGAGAGATTCGCATAATCAAAATATTGAAAAAAATTACCTATGCTAAGAAATCAGACATGAATTTTTGGAGAAAAACTTATTTTAAAATCCTAATAGTATGTAATATGTCTCTGTCTAATACACGCTTTTGATCATAAGCCTATCTTTGTCGCATTCGAATTTTTTCTCAAATAAAAGCCTCTATTTGAATTAGGTAGGGATTAAATCTACATCAAATGGTGTAAAAATATTTTTATTTTCCATTATAATTCAGTAAACAACAGGGAAAAAAATGGAAGACCTAACTCTACCAGGAACTATACAATACTTTATTTTCTAAAGGCCGGTTTATTCATCTTCTGATAAACTCCCAGGTATAAAATCTGGCAAATAAAAACGCAATCTGTAATCTCATTGGTCGTCCAGTTATCCGTCGACCAATAGAATTATAGAACGGTAAATTTATCTTGCAGATATTTACCAGCAAGTTTATCAGAATATGGATAAACCAGTCCTAAACATAATAAATAAATTAGTCAACTAGACACTTATATCCTCTAAAATTCCTAAAAAAAAGGAAACAAAACAACAAAAATAGTGGTTTAAAAAAACTTTACACTTTAGCACCCTCACCCGCTTGAGCAATAGCCTCTATATATATAAACAAAGAGAATCTAATCTAAATATTGATATTTCTTTAGGAAATTTTCTTTATATTTTGGAACAGAATAAAAAGAGACAGATTTCACTAAAGATTTTCACAGCAATTAATATTAAAATGTCTTATAAATAAAGCAGTCTTAATTATTGTGTGATAATATGAGGGGAGGCAGTGATGAATTATTTAACAATAATTTTTTGGTACTGGTGTCAATAAAATTACGGATCAAATCTCCTGTTATTTGTCCTCCGTCTCCTCCTTAATTGTTTTTGTACAAAAACAACAATTAGTGCACACCCTAATAACACAGCCAGACCTACACCTACATACATAGTTAAATGACTATCATTACTATTATCAACCAGTTTAGTATCAGATTTAAGCACATTGCCTAAATTTGGCTGATCGTTGACTATATTAACTGCCATAGTGGTTGTAGGTCTTTCAGTTGTAGTTGTAGTTGTGGTTGTAGTTGTAGTAGTTGTAGTGGTAGTAGTAGTAACTACAGGAACTTGTTCCAAAGGTGCGCTTTCGAAATACTTTTCCAAAGGTTCGAAATATTTCAAAATTTCCGCAGTGCCCAAGTCCAAACCGTAGTGGATGGAGAGTAGGTAGGGCCAATCGAGAGTGTGACGTGCTTTAATTAATGTTCTAGTGAAATAAACAAAAATTGTTAGAAGTTGATATAAAATTTGAAGAGTGTATTATGAAAGAGCGACTCTGAAGTGACATCCAGAAAATTGGATGAGGACAGGCAGAAATGAAAACCTATGGAAGAGGCTTACATTCAGGATTTAATGAGGAAAGGCCGTGGTGGAGAGAAGAATAATGGTAATGTGCAAGATATTTTTTGGAAAGTTTTCTTAATTTCTTAAAGGAACATAATGATAAATCATAACTTTGTTATCTCTGACTCTATTCCTTTAGTATGATCAAGACAAAAAATAATAACCATTATTGCAAAAAATTTACTTACATAAAAGTATCATCTTGTCCAAACTCTTTGACAATATGCTCAACATTGCCAGAACGATCACTGTAAAACGCCATCATTTGAAAAGCAATTAAAATACCAAAAAAACTATTGATATAGGGCTTGTTTGAAGTTATTCTGGTATCTTCAAGATAATCGGTTTCGTTGTTCAAAAGTCCTCGGACACCCATGAACTCTTTTCTATGGAAACAAATAAATTCAGCAAATATATTAAAAATATTTTAAAAAAAATCCTACCTATAATTCCACCAACTTTCAGTAACATTTATCAATGAATTTTCATTTTCCAACAGCTCCAATCTCCATTTGTCAACCATAATGGAATAGGCCAATTTTGGCATAACTCTCAAGGCGACCAATAAGAGTTTAGTCATTTGTACTGGATCCTCTCTAGAAGTATTAACTTTAGCAATTTCGTGATAATTGAGGCTTTCAATTGCCAAAAGCGAACCTATAAAAAAAAAAAATTTATTAAGAAACTCATTAGCCAATATTGTTTTTCAAATGCCCCTTTATAAAAATGAAACTTACCCACCTAAAGTTTCCACAGCATCGTCGATGGCGCAATACCGCAATTTTTGCCTTGATAAAGAAGTGTAATCCAAATTGTTGAGGGCGATTCTCATTGCTGTTTTGTGGGAGTTCAAGTACAAGGGCCAAGAGGATTTATTGCATTCTATAATTCTATTTAAGAAACTTATTATAAATTATTGTTTTTGGTTAATAATTATCACTTACTCAGTATACTCGCTGAAACAAAATTCGTACAATTGAGGCCCGCAAGTGGAGGCATTAAACAAGCTGTTGGTCCAAAAATTGGAGCCCAAACTTCCTAAATTTAGTAATTTTGAAACGTTTTCTGCAAGAGTGTATATTTGTTCTGTATCCTAAAAATCTTCATTATTTATGGTATTTAATAGAATTGACAAAAGCAAACCTTGTATTTCAAATAGCTCTCGGCATCGTAATGTAATTGCGGGTGAGGTAAAACTATGTCTGCAATGTTGCTCCAATCTGTTCCTAGTTCACCACCTTGAAATTTAATTCATCAACGAAAATGTTAAATCATGACCGCACTGGTGGGGTAGCAAATTCAAAAAAGTACTAGTGCGGTAATATTAGTTAGGATCTCTATACTTGAAACAGTGTCAAATCATAAGAAAAACATCATAAGCACATTTTGCAAAATGAAAAAAGATGAAATTTGCAATGGAAAAATTCACTTTTCCCAAAAAACTTGAAACACTTTCAAATAGTTTGATTATTGCTAGCTAGGTACAGGTGATTGTCTATATTTTTCAAAATGTCAAATGTGAAAGTTGTAGGTAATATAAAAAAGTTTTCAATGATGTTAGTTACAAGTATACAGAGTGTGTCACAATAGTGTGGCGAAGCAAAGTTCTACTTTTTTAAATGGAAAGTCCTGCATAATATTGTCTTATTGGATTAGCCTTTCAAACCTGATTCCAAATATATTAGGTTTTTTAGGTTTTTTCCTCATAGTCCAGCCTCTGAATATCTCATTTTGAACGAATAATATGGATTTTTTACAGGAATGATTACCTTTATATTTTGCTGGTGGTCTCTATGCTTCACCTTTTTCAATAAAAATGCAATTATTCTACCCCTTTTTGTCCTATTTTCTCTTGAACTATTAGAAATAAGCCTAAAAAACCTAGTATATTTGGAATCAGGTTTGAAAGGCTAATCCAATGGGACGATAAGATACAGGGTTTTCCATTTAAAAAAGTATAACTTTGCTTTGCCGCACTTTTGTGACACACCCTGTATACTTGTAACTAACATCATTGAAAACTTTCTGATATTACCTACAACTTTCACTTTTGACATTTCTGGGTATCTCTTCAAACAGATAGGTGTGGGTGCAAAATATAGACAATCATCTGGTACTTATAAGTACTAAGGTAGTATTATTCACACACTTCTTAAAAAATCCACTATTGGTATTTCTAACACCGAGTCTAACACTAAGTGCGGAGATTTTTGTGTCTCCAAAAAATTCTCACCTAATAAATAAGCATCAATTTCCTGGCCACCCTCTTCCATATCGTAATATTTATCCAACCTTTGCTTCACAAATTTTTGCAACTTTTTATAAAATGGAGCAATTTCATCCCAAAGAGTATTAGCTTGCTCGTAAGCCCCATCAAAATCCACCAAAGTCTCCCAATATTGATGAACACTTTCAAACTCGTTTAAGGTGACAGCTTCTTTAATCAATGGCACTTGCTCTTTAAAACCTTCAACATCAGATTCATTGAAAATATCATGCCAATTAGTCCAAGCGTTTTGTAAAACATCCAACTGCTTTTCATTGTTTAAAATTTCATAATAATTATTTTTTGAGTTGTTTTGCAATAGTTCTTCTATTTGGTTTTGATACAATATCATCTAGAATTAATAAGAATAATAATAATAAGCAACAAATTCTAGTTCACATACCTTGTTCCATTTAGTTTGAGGCAACAACGAATCGCCAGGTTTCACTTGATACCCCCAATTCCTATCCAATTCAGTCGGAACTTCAGTAAACTGCCTTAAAACATCATAGTGCACTTTCAATTCCGATCCGTGAAGTTGCTCTTCCCTAATCTAAAATCACTTTTGATTTGAAACCAAAAAAAAAAAACTTAAACAATATTTTACCTTGTTTTTAAAATTGTGAGTTAAAAACGCCTCTTTTTGTGCCCGAGCCAAAGATTCGCACCTGTCAACCAATTCCAAATCGTCCAATTGCAGTTCAGCTTCTAGTCGTGCAGTTTCTTGAAGCATTACAGCATTGAAGCAGCACAATAAAATCAAGTATTTGGACATTTTTGAAGCTGGAAAAAATATGAACTTAAAGCACTGAGTGATATTCTTAAACAAATTGACCTTGTCCTATGACAGCAATTGAATTATATTTTAAATTGGAGAGTGTTTGCAAGATAGACATTATACCTGAGTTAATGTGGAATTGGTAATTTGCAAACAAATTCTAAGTAGATAATAATTATTACGAGGAGACAGTTGATTAGGATAATTAACAACTTACTGCTTAGTTCAGGTAGGTTAGGTTTTTAAGCCCAGTACATTTTTATCTGATTTAAGTACCTAGTTTGCATTTTTAAAACTCAACTTTGTACCTTGAATCAAAAAAAAATTAAGCCTTTATACTCATAGATCAACAACTATAAATAATTATTTTATCAAACGTTTGATAAGAATTTTTTTTAAATTGTAAATATGTGGTGTCTTTAATAATAAAGCGATTATTTGAAATGGGATCCATTGTTAGCAAGAATACATATTTTTGTTTTGATTTTGAGTTAAATGCATGGGAAGAAAAACGTTTTTGGGACATTTTTGTCGCGAGGTCATTCACACCCTGCAGGAGATATTCAAAATTCTTCGGGGAAATCTTGGGAGGTTTGGGGAAATATGGGAAGAATTCAGGGTTAGCAAAAGCCCGGATTTTTGAAAATTTCTATTAGGTTTTTTTTTACTTCATTTAGTTATTGTACTAGTAGATTCTTTGCTAGTAGTTATCTCAACCAGTTTTGTTTTTTTACTTGTGTATCTAAGAATAATTGTTTGATTAATATTATTTGACTATTTTTCTATAGGATTTCTACTTTGTTTAATAAAGATAAGAAAAATATGAGTAATCCGAGATTAATTGTTATTAATCTTTACTTTAATTTTCTTTAAATTTATTTTCATATTTTGTGATTTCCTTATGTGTAGGTATTTCCAGATAATAAGTAGGTATCTCAGATTCAGAACCATGTCATGTGTATTTCAGATGGACCAGATTTCGAAGATTATAAAAGTGAAATTATTTAAAAAAAAAAGTTTCAGATTCTATAGGCCCGTCTTGTTTACAGCTATTTGGATTTTGTCAAATTTAGAGCTAAAATACAGCTCCAGATGACAAAGATAAAGTTTTTGAGCACTTTAAGTATGAAATTATATGATTTGCTCATATTTTTTCTGAACCTCAGATCCAGAGGGAGATTTGAGAAGAAGCTTCATTGGCTCATAACTTGTGAAGCCAACTTTCGAATTCCTCAGAACCAGAGTAAGAATGTTGGTGTAGTGGAGTAGGTTTTTTCTCTTTACTGCTTTGATTTTTCACTCCAAATTTTGTCTATTTCAGACTACTAAATTATGAACATTTAAAACAAATTCAAGAGCCTGGAATAGGAAAATTATTTTAATAATCTAGCTTTTCAAAATGGGTTTTTGTGTATGCCAACCTTGGGGTAGATTTGGGGAAATTTGAGGAGATTTATGGGAGAAGTGAGGGATATCTGGGGAAATCTGAGAGAAATCTTACTGAGTGAAACCGTGCGTGCGTTCAGAATTTAATTTTCTATTGATTAAGAATAATCAAGAGGATATCATGTTACCCAGGTTTTCTTCTGAAATAAAAATATTATAGCTACCTCATATTCTCTCTCATATTAATAAATGTAGCTTTAATATTACCAGGAAAAATAAACAGATGAGAAAATGCACATGTTGTATTAAAGAGAAGACCCTGGGAGTTGTGTTCTGGCTGTGCACTTGTGCTGGTACCTATTCTATGAAATCCCTGAAAAATTAAGGAGATCTAGTGAAATATTGGGAGCTCGATTGGGAGATTTAAAAAAATCTTAGGGTGATCCCAGGTAATCTAGGGAAATCTGTAGATATCTTTTGCTTAAAAGATATCGGCAGCCTGTAACTTGCGACCGCCGAGAATTGCGCAATTGTCGCTGTCAAGTTGCTGACAAACGCGAATTTTCCATTAAAAAAAAGCAACTTGCGACTGGTTGCTGGTTGCTATGTATTTGCTGTTTGTGGAGAATAGGCCTGCCGGTCTTAAAAAAATAAACCAATCAAAGATTGCTATGGGTTTTTAAACGTATGTCTTAGCAATATTTTTCTTTAAAGTCAATGAACTTTAATGTCAAAATGTCATGTCAAAAATCCTGACCAATACAGAAACAATAATGCGACCAATGAACTATAAACTACGCGTACCTGGAATGGCACCGACCGTTGTCGTATATGGCATTTGTCATCTCTCTTAGTGCATCCAAAGAAAGCTATCTAGTGGGGGATCCCTTTCTCTCTCTATTTCATTGCTGTTAGGTTTGGTGTATATTCCTAACCTCAAATTTAATATTTTTTAGACAAGGAAAGATTTTCATAAGTGACCTATAAGGTAAATAAAGATAGGAATCCCCTATATTCTCCATCTCAATTTGCCGCATTTTAGAGATAGGCCGGGCCTTTCCAGGTATGTGTAGTTTATAGTTCATTGAATGCGACATACGTTTTCGTACTCAAAGCAATCTATGATTGGGTTTTTTTTTTGGAGACCCGATATCTCTTGTACACTCAAATATGTTGTGAATAACCCCCCGTACCTATATGATCTTTTGATGTCCGAGTTGACGTCCCAAGAATCTTCAATATTTTTAATCAATTAACTTGTCGCAAGGGGTGAACCACCATCCCCAAAGGGGAATTTTTTACGCAAAATTCCTGCAAATTCTTCCAAATTCCTCCAGATACTCCATCACAAATTCCTCCAAATACCCTACCACGAACTTCTCCAAATACCCCACAAATTCCTCTAAAAAAAAAGGAAAATTATGAAACTTTTTGTATGTAAAGAGGAAGGTGAGAAGATAATTTTCCCAAAATTTAAAATTTTTCCAGTGGAAAACAGCAACATGAGGAATATTGAAAATCAACCTACAATAACTAAATCGAGAACTAAATTAATTGAAAATACAGTCCCACAAGTTTTCCTCCAAAACTAGTGAAAGGAAAATTTTGAAACTTTTTGCACGTAAAGAGGAAGGTGAAAAACTCATTTTCCCAAAATTTCAAATTTTTCCAGTGGAAAACAGCAACATGAAAAATCTTGGAAATCAACCTACAAAAACTGAATTGGTTAAAAATACAGTTTCACACATTTCAAAGTTTTCCTAAAAAACTAGTGGAGGGAAAATTTTGAAACTTTTTGCATGTAAAGAGGAAGGTGAGAAACTCATTTTTCCAAAATTTCAAAGTTTTCCGGCGAAAACAGCAACATGAAAAATCTTAGAAATCAACCTACAAAAACTGAATTAGTTGAAAATAGAGTCTCATACATTACAAAGTTTTCCTGGTAAACTAGCGAAGGGAAAATTTTGAAACTTTTTACATGTCAAGAGAAAGGTGATAAGCTCATTTTCCCAAAATTTAAAATTTTTCCAGTGGAAAACAGCAACATGAATAATCTTTGAAATCAACCTACAAAAACTGAACTAATTGAAAATATAGTCTCACACTCGGTCTCACACATTTCGAAGTTTTCCTGGACATCTGTGAAGGGAAGATTTTGAAACTTTTTGCATGTAAAGTGGAAGGTGTGAAGATCATTTTTCCAAAATTTCAAATTTTCCCAGTGGAAACTAACATCATGAGAAATATTGGAAATCAACCTACAATAACTGAATTAATTCAAAATACAGTCTCACATATTTCAAAGTCTTCCTGGAAACTAATAAAGGGAAAATTTTGAAACTCTTTGCATGTAAAGAGGAAGGTTAGAAGCTCATTGTCCCAGAATTTAAAATTTTTCAAGTAGAAAATTACAACTTGAGGAATCTTGGAAATCAACCTACAATAACTGAATTAATTACAAATACAGTCTCACATATTTCAAAGTTTTTCTGGAAAACTAGTGAAGAGAAAAATTTTAAATTTTTTGCATGTAAAGAGGAAGATTCTCGGGAAGATTAGAAACTCATTTTCCCAGAATTTCAAATTTTTCCAGTAGAAAATTTCAACATGAAAAATCTTGGAAATCACTGCATGTAAAGAGGAAGGTAAGAAGCTCATTATCCCAAAATTTCAGATGTTTCCAGTGGAAAATAACAACATGAAAAATCTTGGAAATCAATCTACAAAAAGTGAATTAGTTGAAAATAGAGTCTCACACATTCGAGCACACATTTCAAAGCTCTTTTGGAAAAATAGTGAAGGCAAAGTTTTGAAACTTTTTACATGTAAAGAGGAAGGTGAGAAGCTAATTTTCCCAGAATTTCAAATTTTTACAGTGGAAAATAATAACATGAAAAATCTTGGTAATCAACTTACAAAAACTGAATTAATTGAAAATACTGTGACACACATTTCAAAGTTTTCCTGGAAAACAGTGAAGGGAGAAATTTGAAACTTTTTGCATATAAAGAGGAAGGTTAGAAGCTCATTTTCCCAAAATTTCAAATTTTTCCAGTGAAAAATAACAACATGAAAAATCTTGGAAATCAGCCTACAAAAAATTCATTATTCTTCTGAATTTTTTAAATTTGGACCTGTAAATCATGAAGTGAAATTTTGGGAGAATTTCTTTAATAAAAATGAATATCCAACGTCCAACACAAAACTAGATTTTTTTTTAAATTCCCATTTATTAAGTACTTTTTTTTTATAATAAGAATGTGAACCTCAGTGACGTCACGACCCCACAATTTCCTTTAAATTCCTCATAAATTCCTCACAAATTCCTCCAATTTCCCCAGAAATTCCTTCAAATTCCCCAAATTTTCCTAAATTCCGATGAATTTCTTCAAATTCCCCACAAATTCCTCTAAATTCCCCAGATTTTTGGCAAAGAATTCCTAGGTGGTTTGCCCCTTGACTCGTCGGTTCTATAGATTTTCTGAAACAGGATTATATTCCCTATAAAAACTACAGGAACAGAGTCAACTAAAACCAAAATACAAAAGTAAACTAATCAAAAAGCACATCATAGCTGAATACCTTGTACCTATACCGAGTTGTATACATACATATTTAAGTGCATAAATTTCAACTTTTATTAATATTAGAGATAAAAAAAAAATCACCTGAGAGCTCACCTGATATAGAAATGAAACTCTTGCAACAACACAAAATGTTAATTAATAGATTCGTGTACGTTTGACCTTTGCCATCGTTCCTATACCGGCACACTCACAAAACAAATAAAATCCAAAGTCTAATAATAATATTTTAGGGGAAATATTAGTCATTAGCTTATCGTTAAAATGGCGTTTTATCTTTAAATAAATTCACTAGGCGAATTATAACTACTGTAGTGGTATTTTTATCATTTTATTAATAACATGGTTGAATCAATTTAGTGAATAATTACCTCAATTCGATGATATAATACAGGAGGAAATTTAATTAAAAAACTTGTGATTTTAATTTATAAACAAACAGATTCACATTACATAACCCAACTTTTATTTTTTTGACAACAACAAGCAACGTTGCCAGATTTATTTTAAGTTGGTGCATTCAAAGAAGCGACTCTTGAGGCGATTTTCAGCCTGGAATGATTATTTATCGGTAAATACCGCGGTTATTCTTTTGGTTGACAACTTTGACAGCCAAGTGTGACGTCATAGCCCCCCACCATTCAAGAATCATAACCCAAGGAACTGACCGCTGAAATGATTTGGTTATAGCAGTGTAGGATTATGTTTATTATTCTTATTTGTTTTTTCGTTTCAACAATAGTTTTTTGTTTAGGTACAAAAAATGGAGCTGAATTTCTCGTTAGTCTCGTTTATCAAACAAATTTTCTTTGGGGATGATATAAACCTCGATCTAAACATGGTGAATTGCAGTGAGTGAGTGAATGTATACTTCTTTCATTGTGCCAGGCTACAACGCAACTGCAAAATCACAAAACACCAATACAAATTCCAAAAATAATAACAATAACATCAAAAAGCTCTAACCAAAAGATTAACCCAAGTCCAAAGCTGGGTTATAATCGGTTATAAGTGGTAAATACCAAAAGCAAATCAGCTGATATGTGACGTCACAACTTCCCCTACTTTGGTTAAAACCGCGACGGCGGAAATGCATTGGTTATAACCAAATAATAATTATTCCAGGCTGAAAATCGCCTTTGGCGTAAAATGCATAGCCGAGTTCAGTGACAGATCCAGGGAGGGGGCGCGCGCCCCCCCTCAGAGCCTCAAAAACTATTATTTTTTTTTTTTTAATAATAGATAGAAAAATTTTATAAAAGAATTTTCCAATAAAAGTTCATGGAAAAATTTTCCAATAAAATGCTATAGGAAAATTGTCCAAGCTAAACTATTGTTCCAATTTATCGTTTTGTTTTTATCAGAAAAATGTCCTATATTTTTATTTGGAATAGGTATTTTTATTTGTTATTGGACACTTTAAGTTATACAAAATACGTTAACGCTAACGTAAGATTTGACAGCTGCGCATGCGCAGTTTCTTTTTACCAAAAATAGCGTGTTACGTGTCACGTTATTTAACGGGTCTTTGCGTGTACCTTATCCGTAAACGTTCGTTAAACCGAGTGGGCCTGAAAGCTAGATTGCCGGTGTCGACCTTTGCCAAATGTATTTTAACCTTAAAAAAAAGTTGTCATGTAATCCAAAATAATCAAAATACGAAAAATTATTTCTAATTTGCAGGGCCGGATTAAGGGGGGGCTTTGGGGGCTAAAGCCCGGGCCCCGAAATGAGGGAGGCCCCAAAACACCACCTCACGCGAGGAAGAAATCATGCATATAATTTACACCAAACAAAACCGTCGTTTTTGAAATTCGAAGCCCACACACTTCAGGTTTGTTGACATTTCGAACATAAAATCAGGTGAAGCCAGATATTTGCATCGGTTTTGTATGCCAGCAAAAACGACAATTTTTCGCACACACACTTCGGTTTTGTGTCGTTTTTGCTCGATCAGATTTGCACGTACAACAGAACTGTCCAACAAAAACGCAGTATGTGGGCTCCTTTACAATTTGAGAGCGTTAACCACCAGTAATTCTGTAATCATAACTTTTTGGCGTTAATATGCATAATATCAAAAATATTTATACGAGAAAGTTGTAGAGAACTAAAGTTCGTTTCACCAGGGTTCATACTTGACCTTGAAACTTGAAAAAAAAAGGGTTGTCGTAGATTAATTCATATGACTCATTCAATTTTTTTGACAAATTAAAATGAATGACGTCTAGTTTAAGAACCGACGAATGTTTTTGACATCATTGATTTGTTTGAGTCAATTTTTATTTGTTAAACAAGGAAGACAAATGCAGTGGCGTAGCCAAACCAAACGTGGACGTCGGCGACATCAGAATTGCGACGCCCTTTTTATGTAGGGTAGCAGTGGCGGATCCACGGGTGGAGGGGTAAAGGGGGTATTTTCTCCCCCCCCCCCTCCCTCCCAGAGAGACCCAAGAAAATTTTAAATATTAGAAAAACACACAAATTATTTTTTTGGAGGCTTAAAAGTTTTGAGCGTGGCACCCGAAAAAAATTTCTACCTCCGGGGCATTTGCGGTGGGCATCACGTGGTCCTACTTTAGGTGTTAACCCCTTCAGGTATAAATCACGAGCCGCCACTGGTTGAGAAGCTCCATCCCTCAGAATGGTGCTATAGATCCGCCACTGTAGGGTGGCCATATTTCTTGTGACAAAAAGCTGGATATAACGACAGGGACGGGGAGTTGCTAGCAGGCCCGCCGAAGGTAAGAATTCTTTGAGAGTCACACCTCTTTTTTCAGACTAACAAATCCTTCCAATCAAAAATAAATTTCTCATTTATTACAGTATTACACAAACATGGACCGACAATTTTTGGTAGGAATCAGGCAATTTTTTAGGAAACCTAAATAATTTCCAAATCTCTGTATGTTAGCATGTTTGCTGTACAAAAACAAAATGTACAGGGTCTGTTCCTTATAATTAGTGTGGACTCTACAACTTAAACAAGAAAAAATTTAAGAAAATGTTGAATACAAAAGTTTTAGGGTTTCATCTCAATTATCTTTCGCACATGTCAAAACCAGCAATGACAAGTGCCAACTGTCATAATGACAAGTACATACATTTCTTAAATGGATCACTGTATATTTTTGGCTAGAATGAAAGATTTTTGTCTGCTGATTCCAAATATACCATCTAGGTATGTTGATATGTGGTTCAGCTGTTTTTGCGCTATTTAAGTTTACAACTGCATGAAAATTGCATTAAATTAGTAAAAAAAAGTGTATAAGGAACCGGGAACAGACCTAATTTGGGGTAATTTCAATGCATCTTTAAACTTAAATAGCGCAAAAACAGCTGAACCAAATAGCAGCATATATGATAATATATTTGGAATCGGAAGACAAAAATCTTTCATTCTAGCCAAAACTATACCGGGTTAACTATTTAAAAAACTGCATGTGCTGTCATTATGACAGTTAGTACTTGTCATTTGCCCGTTTTGACATGTGCAAAAGATACTAGGCGTATTCTTTCGATCTGAACAAACTGACAAACATTTTTCATCCGGTGCTACAACGATTTCATTGGCCAGCTGTTGACGCCTCATGAACTAACTTCATGTGATCAGAATCAAGAATACCAGGAATAGATGAAACCCTACAACTTTTGTATTTAACTTTTTTTAATTTTTTTGTTTTGTTCAAGTTGTAGAAGTCGCACTAATTATGAAGAACATACCCTGTACAATACACCGAAATACCTACTGTACGTATGGTCACCCTATGTTTATGTCTCGGTCGGTTGCCAGTTAGGGAAAGTGCCTTATGTACCATATTTATGGTTTGAGAGTTCTAGGTTAATTTGCAGTAAAAATAGTATATTGTTGTATTAGGAGTAGAAGCTCTACTTTTTTGTGCTGAAGCAGAAGGTTTGCGAGCCGAACGTAGTGAGGCTTGCAATACTGCTGAAGCACAAAAAAGTGCTTCTACTCCGTATGCAACACGCTATTTTTTCTCCAAACCAATGGGATAAGCTTGGGGGCAAGTGAATGGTTGAGCGGCAGTAAAAGTACGAGCGGCACTAAAAGTACTTTTGCTGCCGCTGGGGTTGCCAAGCAGCATAGAAATTAAGTTTCTACCACCTCGACAGGTGTTAACCCGCTGGATTTGCCTAGCAGCATAGAAATCAAATTTCTGACATCTTGACAGGGGTTAACAAAGTGACGTTTTTCTGACGTTTGGAGAAAATAATAATTTTTAGTGAATTCTATGATATTAAGAAGTTTCGTATATAGGAATATGCTTATTTGTTCTCTACGTTTTATTTTGGGAAATCGAAAAGTACCAATTTTCAGGTTCGGTAACCTATTTTTTGCGAGGCTCCTTAAGGCGCGAGGCCGTCGGCAGTCGCCGACGCCTAGTTACGCCACTGGACAAATGCTGGTGGCAAGTACAAACCCTGGTGAAACAAACTTTACTATATCTAGCTGATTACATGGCAATAATTTTTATTTGCCAATTTTTTAATTTTTATTTTGATTTAAAAAACAAATTTTAGAAATGTTACTAAGTACGGTGATAGTGGTGGATAATTCAGAAATATTTATTCAAGAAAAAAAATTTCCAAATCAAACAGTTTGTCCAAAATTACATTTTTTTAATCTGCAAGGTAAAATTTTGAGTGACGTTTGAATTTATTTCAGGGACCTAGGGGCCCCTTTTGTGAAAATAGCCCCCGGCCCCAAAAGACCTTAATCCGACCCTGCTAATTTGTCCTTTTCACAACAAAATTTAGAGGTTAGGTTATGATTGTGAGATATATCGTTAACGTTTATGTGAAAATTTAACTTAAACTGATTTGTGAGTACCGATGATCACTCGACGCTATAGTAAAAAATAGGGTTTACGTTTAAAGATTACGTTAACGTGTTTGGTCAAACTTAACCCCCACTCTGAGGCTCAAATTTTATGATATTTTGAACCGTTTTGTGACCAGTGTTGCCAATCCTTCAGAAAAAAATTTCCCACTCGAATGTGTGAAAATTCCCAAATTTTCCCACCATGCACAATAAAAATTCCCCAGAAATTTCCCAGGATTCTGTTATCCAGTATGGTTGGGTCGTATTTTCGAATATTTTCGCATACGAATTTTGATAAAATTGAAGAAACACTAGAGCTTTTCAGCACAATTAAAGACATAAAAAACAAAGTGTCATCTGGGACTGATGGACTAACTTTAAAAATGTTCTTCAATTTACCGGAATGTACATTAAATCTCCTCACTGCTTTAATAAATAAATCTTTTCAACAAGGAGTGTTCCCAGATTGCCTCAAGACGGCTATAATTATTCCTCTGCACAAGGGAGGTGATAAGGACCAAGAGTCGAACTATCGTCCAATTGCACTTCTTCCTACTTTATCCAAAATCATTGAAAGATTGGTTAAGAAAAGGCTTCTATCATTTCTGCATAAATATAATATACCTACTAACTATCCACCAATTTGGATTTTTAACCAACAAATGCACTATTGATGCTATGTTCTCTGTCTTCAATAATGTCTTCTCTAGCTTGAACAATTTGCACTCCACAGCATCAATTTTCTGTGATTTTTCTAAAGCATTCGACTGTGTAAGTCATAATATCCTAATTAACAAATTGCAGCATTATGGAATTCGAGGCTCTCCTCTGGAATGGTTCAAGTCGTATCTTAACAACAGAAAACAGCTTGTGAGCGTTGATACGACGATGTCTTCATGCAAGCCAATAGAATGTGGAGTTCCACAGGGTTCCGTGTTGGGTCCAATATTATTTTTGCTGTTTATCAACGATATTGCTAGTCTAGACATCAGCGGTAAAATCTGTCTTTTTGCTGATGATACTAGTTTCACTTGGAGCAACCCGGATATTGTAGCTCTTCATAGAACCATGTCCATCGACTTGTTGGCCATTAAAACATGGTGCGACTCTAACTTTCTCTGCTTCAACGCTGCGAAAACAAAAGTTCTATCATATAGAAGTACGATGCAACCTATTGTACTTAATAACACTACTACTATTGACGTCGTTGATTCCGTAAAGTTTTTGGGCCTTATTATAGACAAATCCCTAAAATGGAATTCGCTTCGCACATCGATTCTTTATCAAAAAAATTAAGTTCCGCCTGCTTTGCGATAAGATCAGTTTCCAAGGAACTCAACTTGTCAACTTCTAGAACAGTCTACTTTGCCCTTTTCGAATCACATCTTCGATACGCCATTCCATTCTGGGGTTCGTGCTGTGCGACTCAATTTGACCGTATTTTTAAATTACAAAAGAGAGCTATTAGATATTCCCTAAAATTAAAAAATAGAGCTCATTGCCAAGATTTTTTCAAAAAATATAAAATATTAACACTTCCTTCCCTTTTCATACTAGAATCAGTCTGCCTTATCCGCAAACACCTACCCAGTATTTCAGAAAGGCCATTGCATAACTATCCACTTAGAAACGCGGAGCATGATCTTTATCTGCCAACTCCATCCTCCGAGTTAATTAAGAGCTCCATTCTATACAACGCAAAAAAAATGCACAATCATCTGCCAGTAGTCATCAAGTCCATAGCATCTCTTCCTAAATTTCGCATAGCTCTAAAATCCTATTTATCAGAGAGAGCCTTATATAAAGTAAATGACTTTTTTCTGACTTAATTTTGAGCGTTCCACACACTGGATCATAGTTTATAGGTAATTTGTTCATTTTTATATTTGTTCATGTTATTTGTTTATGTTTATATCATTTTATTTTGACTTTGTATACATGTAGATGTATATAATATATATTTTTAACTTTAAGGCTTTGTCTACAAATTATGTTATACTTTTTTTGACAATAAAGCATTATTATTATTAAAGTGTCTATTCTCGATTTTTTTGATACGTGCACGTTGTCCAATTTGGACACTTTTGATTGAAAACGTTAATTTCTAAGCGAGATACAAAAAAATCAACCCCCACTCTGAGGCTCAAATTTTATGATATTTTGAACCGTTTTGTGACCAGTGTTGCCAATCCTTCAGAAAAAAATTCCCACTCGAATGTGTGAAAATTCCCAAATTTTCCCACCATGCACAATAAAAATTCCCCAGAAATTTCCCAGGATTCTGTTATCCAGTATGGTTACCAGGGGTGCGATTTTCGAAACCATTCGAGTACATTTCGTACACGAAATTTGACTGCTCCCCATTTAATTTACATTGCTGTCAGTCAAACTTCGTGTACGAAATGTACTCGAATGGTTTCGAAAATCGCACCCCAGGGGTCTTATTTTCGAATATTTTCGCATACGAATTTTGATAAAATTTCGAATGCTCCCCATCTAATATTTACATTGCTGTCAGGCAAATTCCGTGTACGAAAAGTACTCGAATGGTTTTGAAAATCGCACCCCAGGACCCGTATTCTTGTTTTTCTGGATAAAAACGTATCGCTTTCAAAACGCTAAGCAAAACGATTCGCATAGGGCGCGTTCTTTTATTCAGCAATGCATCCATCTGCTGCCATCATAATAAGACAGACATTCCTATTTTCTATGAGCTAGCTTTATTTTTGCTTAGCAAGCCGCTTTCGTAGAAAACGTTTAGCACCTGTTGGCAACATCGCGATTTTTTGACATTAACGTGTGATTTTTTTCAAATTTCAAATTTGTCAGCAGTTTGTCGTACTTTGCGAAAATTCAGATAAAGAAATGAGTTTAAAAAAGCAAATGAGCCAGACTCAAAAAAACACCTTATTAGAGTTAATGGAGGAAAATCCACAGCTTATTACTCAAAAAGTAAGCAATCAATATACAAACCAAGATATAAAAAAAAAATGGATTGAAATTTCCGAAAAGCTCAACAGCATTCCAGGAACGAACAGATCCTGGAAGGATTGGAGAAAGGTAGGTGTTAATAAGGCATTTATTATAGATTAATGAAATAATTATGCTTATCATAGAAATTGCAATAAAATAACATTCACTATATTATAAGTTTAAACATAAACCTACCCACTATTTCAAATATTTTTTTATATAAACCTATATACTTACCTATTCTATTTTTTTAGTGTTGGAGTGATATTAAGAGTAGGATCAAAAAAAAAGCGAAGGAGATGCGTTCTATGTGCCAAACTGGAGGGGGAGGCCCTGATGAAGACAACAGAACGGATGAAATATTAGATATGTTAGGTATAATAATTTTTCTTTTCTTCTAAATAAAGCTCTTACACTATCCACTAAAGAGCTAAAGAGGGTATAAGATTTTATGCTACTAAGTTCTTATTATATTTTAGGCGGTGATGTCCTAATTTCAGGCCTTGATATTCCCGAGCTTGGACTGCCTGTGCAAGCTCCAGCATCTCCTGAAGAACCTGCCCATGTTCTACTGCCTGAACATTCAATGGAATCAGGAAATGCTAATGATATTTCAAAGAAAAATCAAGAAGAAAATTCAAATAAAAACTACTATTCTATGATAAATACGAAAAAATCGACAAGAGTAAGACCTCCTGTTAAAACAAAAAAAAAAGTTATCGGAAACGCTTCAGAAAATGTAACCACCTTGAAAAGAAAAAATAATTTAACCACCTCGATTGACACCTCACATAAATTTATTAAACTTGGCGAAGAGAAGTACGAATTGAAAAAACAATACTATGAGAGAAAAATTCAAATTTTGGAGCAGCAATCCAAAACTCTAGAGAGAATTGCAGTAGGGATTGAAAATTGTGTTGAACAATTATTGATAAAAAAAATTGATTAAATATGTGTGGTAATATTAGGTCTGTTTCTGCAGAAATCACAAACCGGTCACAGCAAATTTCATTGCTTGAAAACAGTCAAAAAACTAGTTTCAACCAATGAAAATCACTCTGACTGATTTATGATTTCTGCAAAAACAGACCTATAATATCTTTCTATTAAAATTTGTGCAGTTATTTAGAAATAGGAATTCAATAATTTCAATACACTTTCTTTTCTAATATTACTAATAATCATACTGTATAAGTTTTTGGTTTGAAATAGATACCTATTATTTATTTTTAAAAAAAACTGCATAATATTTTGCTATCATTATTTTTATTTTTAATTAAAATAATTATTAACCAACAATTATTGTCGAATTTCCCTTCCTCTTCGTAAAAAAATATTTTCAGGAACATTATTTAAGATATTCGGCACTTCAGCCTCATCATTGTTGGGATTATAATTAATTTCTCCATCATCAATTATCGGGATATTATTTGTGAGACAAATATTATGAAGAACTGCACAGGAATTTACGATTTTTGCGGCCGTTTCAGGTGCATAATGGAGAACGCGGTGTTTTAAGAGACATCTAAATCGATTTTTAAGGAGTCCAAAGCATCGTTCAATAATTACTCGGATTTCTCTAAACCGTTCATTGAATCGCTCTTCTGGGGTATTTGGTCTGGGTTGAGGTAAAAAAGGGGTCAAAAGCCAAGGTCGTATTGGGTAGCCAGAATTTCCTTAAAATTATCGTTTTGAACAAAATAATTTAATTCGTAAAATCCTGTTACCGAATAAATAAAAATTTCCCATGTCATGTTCTGGGAGCTCTCTTAAAAATCTTTCGATTCTGGAATTTTGCCAAATGAAACTGTCATGGGTACTACCACAAAATCGGGAATTAACATTTGTTATGCACATCCTTTCATCACATATTTGAAAAACATACAGAAAGATAAATAAAACTCGTAAGGTTTATGGAAACCAAACTAAAATAATATTAAAAATACATATATGTATCTACCATTTGAACATTCAATGAATGGAATCCCTTTCGATTCATGTAGATATGTTCGTTTTCTACAGGAGCCACAAGAGCAACATGTGTACAATCAATATAACTTATGATTCCTGGAATTTGATACTCATTAAAAAATCTGAAATTGGAAAAAAAATTGCATTACCTAGGTACTTAAACAATTTATTATAATGTAAGGATAGATGTCATATTATATAGAAACTCCTATATAATTCAAAGAGAGTAAAAATAAAATAAAATATATAGGCATACCTACATAAAATAGGTACAATAAAAGTATATAACCGTATGTATGTGTACCTTTGTCTAACATCAGTCAATTCTTCCATGGTATTAGGATAATGGATGAATCTATTTACAATATCCGGATGGTTTATTGCATCGATTACTCTATGTAGACATCTACTCACTGATGGTTGGCTTACAGTCATCATTTGATTTCGGCCTATGTCTAGTTGGTAGCTTCCACTCGCCAAAAATCGTAAAGCAATTAATATCTATAAGCACATAAATCGAATTGAGCATTATAATATATTATTAAGAAACATAAATACGTATTTCAGTAATAGAAAAATAAGCTTATGTAAAATACTTTCGTTAAAATAGTATATTGTTGTATTAGGAGTAGAAGCTTTACTTTTTTGTTGCAATACTGCTGAAGCACAAAAAAGTGCTTCTACTCCATATGCAACACGCTATTTTTTCTCCAAACGAATGGGGTAAGCTCGGGGGCAAGTGAATGGTTGAGCGGCAGTAAAAGTACGAGCGGCATTAAAAGTACTTCTACTGCCGGTGCGGTTGCCTAGCAGCATAGAAATTAAATCTCTACTACCTCGACAGGTGCTAACCTGCTGGATTTGCCTAGCAGCATAGAAATTAAGTTTCTAATACCTTGACAGGCGTTAACAAAGTGACGTTTTTTTGACGTTTGGAGAAAAAAGTGTTTTTTACCTGGGTTCTATTGCTTAAAGTATCGGCTTTTTGTGGGGCTGGCAAATAGGGGCCAAGCAAGTTTTCTAATTCCTGGACATTATTCTTTCGCAGCCGATATAACTTTACAAAGTTAAAATCTGATAGATCGAAAGGATCATCTGGAAAAAAACGCTGGCGTTGTTGCATTTCGGCATTTTCTATATTTTCAATTAAATTCACTGCAACTTGAAAATTATTCATGGTAATAATTAAAAAATCACTTTCTCTGACACAAAGTGACACCGTTCGACAAGCAAAACGGATACCTCACGGTAGCCGCTTTTGAAGTGGAGAGCGCTTTTCAAAAGTGGAGAGCGTTTTTTAAAAACGCTTAGCAAAATAAAACCAGAATACCGTTTGACCCCATGCGATGCGAAAATGACGTCAAAAGTGGTGAGCGTCCCAAAACGCACAACGTTTTGAGAGAACGAGAATACGGGTCCAGGTCTGTATCAACATATCAAAAACCGTTCCATAAACGATTTGGAAACCACTCCGTATGCGAATTTTGGATTCTACGCAAAAATTTAAGGTTTTGCGCAGAATCGTGACTCGTGACGGTACATAGTACAGTTTCCTGCTGTGTTGGAACAAAGCTCATATCGTCGTTAATTTCACAAAGTGACGAAACTCAAATTAGGCTTTTTGAGATTTTGACCGTTGACTGGCGGTGACCCTTGACTATGTTGACAAAGCAAGGATAGATGATTTTTGGGAATTTTAAAACATGACAACGCTACAAGAGGTTGACAATTTTCATAAAAATGTTTATTTTTTAAGTTTTATTCCCAAAAATACTTGAAATTTCTCATAAAAACGAATATTTTTTAATTTTATTCCCCTCGAGTTAACAAAATTTCCCATGAAAACTGGTATTTTTAATATTTTTCCCTTATTCCCATTTCAAATATTTTCGTCCAAAAATTCCCACGAGAAGGGAAATTTCCCACGAGTTGGCATCACTGTTTGTGACTAGAGAATCCAGTTACTTTTTTAGTTTTTTTCTATTTATTCCCGAATTCGAGATATTAACCAGAGTCCGATTGTTTTGATGGGACACTGGATACCCTATATATTAATTACCGATTGAATAGCTCTGCTTTTGCTGCTTTCAATGATATAAAGTTCGATAGGTTTATCTTTTTTGTTCGAGTTTTCCCGAGAAGTTAATCACTCCTCGAAATCGTGTTACAAATTCGTCCGAAATCACCGGAATCTTTCCGAAATCCTACGGAAATCCCCGAAACCATTCCGAAATCCACGAAATCACTCCGAAATCCGCCGAAATCTCTCAGAAATCATTGCGCATACCCAAAAATCCCTCGCAATTGGCCCATGCAAAATTCGTTTTCGGCCATTTTTCAGTTTATACTATATACACTTTCGAATATACTTATGAGATAAGTAACAGTCTAAAATCAAATTGAAATATTTGTGAAATCACCTGAGATTCTCCGAAATCATCCTTCGAAATCACCCGAAATCCTTCGAAATCAACCGAAATCCCTCAAAATCGCTCTAAATCCGAAATCTTGTTACAGTGAATAATCCCTCGAAATCTTTCCCCGATTTTTGATGAAACACCTAACACCTGAGAAACTATGGGTGGGAAGTTTTTCGTGCCCCAACCTGTATTAGGCAATTCAAACCACGTGACATTCAAGATGGCGTGGCGGCCACACATGGGCCAAAAAACACAAAAAAAAATATCTAGTTTCTGCCCGAATTAATAGTTTAGGTACCTAGTCAACAAATATTTTATTAAATAATGAAAATCAAAGTTGTAAGCATAACTGTATGCAAAATAATTTAAAATACGCATAAAAACATATTCAAAACAAGCTTGCTTGGCCGCCACGTCACATTGAATTTTCCTTTTTGACAGATGGATTGAATTGCCTATTAGGTTTTTCATAAAAAAAAAATAAGACAGATATAAAAAGTACGTCATTGAATTCTGCTTGGAAAAGTACCTTCAGAAAGTTCATACAAAAATCAATTATTTTGATAAATAAAAAAGTTGGGAAGGTTTCACCTTATCGCTCAAAATCGAGAAACACCCTCTAGCGGCAAAACGGTTGAGGGTATCAAAAGGCGGTTTGCAGTGTTTGCACCAATCAAGATATCAATAAATTTGAGCCTCAGCAGACTGGAGAGTTCATTTTTATGTATCTGGCTCAAAAATTGACGTTTCAGATCAAAAGTGTCCAAATTGGACCACCCTGTATCTACATTCTTTAACGTATAAGTAAAGTAAAAATAAATTTTCAAAAAATCATTGTTGATAATTCTTAGCCTGCGCCCCCCCCCCTGAAGAAAATCCTGGATCCGCCACTGGTCGAGTTTAAAACTTTATACGAATATAAACGTTAACATCTTGTTAAAATCACCTTTCCTAGATTTGAATTCGACGAAAAAATTAACTCACAAGCACAGCACAGCTTGAATCGTAGACCATCAAGGTATGTGGGTGACGTCACCATTATAAGCTGCTGACAATTGTGACGTCACTCGCAGACCTTGCCGACCCGAGAATCGCCGAACGTATCGAAGAAACTATTCTTTATTATGGTATGTTACAGAGCTGGGATCGTTACTTGAAAAAAGCAACGCGTTACTTTACAGTTACTTTTGCTTAACCCTTGGGCAGGCGCGCTATCGGCCTTTTATGCCGCCTTTTCACTAATTCAAGGATTCCGCAAATATTGTGAATTCTACCATATTGTCCGTCTAACTATGTTCAAATGACTATATCAGTCAGCCTACTACGCACAATTTACGACTTTAGAGCGCTTGTTTAGATGTCATAGTGAGTTCTTGAACTTGCAGGCAGGGACGTCGCGAAGACTTTTTATTGGGGGGGTGACGTAGATAAAATCTCCCAATTGGTCTTTCTTAAAAATTCCAACTAGCAAGCGCGTAGCCAGAAAATTCAGATAAGGGGGGTCATGTAAGTAAAATCACAAGGGGAATAGTACAAATATTCTGAATATTATTTTTGTGTTTTCACGAAATTAGTATAAAGGATTTCATCTAGTTGCCTAGAATTACAATTTGTTTCATTTTTTTACTCTATTTAAAAATAAATTTTGATGTTTTGAATTATTTCGTATGTTTTTCTGTAGGTGGCACGCAGTGCCGCAGCGCGCCCGCTAATGTGATTTTCAAATGCGCGCTTGCCCTAGGGTTAAAAATAACTCGTTACTTAAAATTTACAATTACTTTCGAATAATGATAACGTTATTTTGGTTACTTATTGGAAAGTAACGCGTTACTATGTAACTTCTTTACTTTGGAAGTAACTTCTTTACTTTAGAAGTAGTTCGTTACTTGAAAGTAACTCGTTATTTGAAAGTAACCCGTTACCTCAACGTGTTAGTTTGAATCAAAGCGCTACTTTTAAATAAAGCGTTAGGTACTTATAAAGTAATGCGTTACTTCAAATATAACTATTTTCGTCGAAAATTGCGTTATTCCTTGATTTGACTTACCAACACAGCAGTCCAAACAATCAAATATAAGACCTTTACGAAATGCCAATATGTTTTTAGTTTGTAAGTCCGAATATGTGGAAGAGTTTTGTTGCTAAATTCAAACGGATTAAGGATTAAGCGACTAAATAATAGAGAACTTGGTTTTGGACAAACCTGCTTTTTGAAGCGTCCCAGTGTCAGCATATAGAGTCTTTAGAGCAGAGGCGGCGCGTGCCACGCCCAAAAACGATTATTTTGAGCTTTCAAAACAAATTTTCTGTACTACTCACATTTTATTTGACATACAAAGTTTTTGGATTACTTATTTTCCTTTTCCTCAATGGTCAATTATTTGTAAAGAAGATAAACAAATTGAGAGAACGCGTTACTTTCATAGTAACTCGTTACTTTAACAAAATAACGATCTGCAGTTACTTCAGGAAAGTAACGTCGTTACAATTACTTATCAATCAATCTGAAAAGTAACGAAGGTACCAAGTAACGCGTTACTTTTAGTAACTCGTTAAAGTAAAGTAACTATTTTTTGTCGTTACTCCCAGTTCTGGTATGTTATATACCACCAGTTGTTATAAAAACCGAATTACGAGTAAAATTGTCAGGTTATTTTTTTCAATTTTTAATTATTGTTGCATAATTACTTAACAATTATAATGATTCTATGTACAATTTTAAGCCTATTCTATTATCACAACAGACAAAGAACACCACGGGCGTCAATATAAAAGCGGAATAAACAATTTTTAAATGGATTACTACCTACTAAATCCATTTGCCTTGATTTAAATTTATAAAACAACTTATACATAAAACTTAAAATACAAAATTAAGTAAATTATTAAAACTGTTGCCGGAAAAATAAAATTATCGTTTGAACTAATACTTCTTATTATTGTCATTGATTATTGTTCCTGAGTCGTCCGTGAAAGATTTATTAACAATTCCATTTTGAACAGCGTCTTTTCTGAAGCCGTTCAAAACGGGCGAACCAATTTGAACTTCTTTGGGCGCTATAGTGAAAACGGCAATTTCCGAAATTGTATTATTCACTACTGGAATACCGTTTTCTTTGTCCAAGCTGGCCAATTTTGCGTCTTTTTTATGTTGACAATAAAACCATCTGAAACAATAATTCGTTTTAATTTAGAAAATGAATTTTTCAAGTTTTTACCCAAAAATTATCACAGCAGGAATAGTTAGAACGCCGCCGAGAATGAAAAAAGCTCCTGGCATTGTGTTTATTGTGGCTGCGTAAGTGGCACTGTACATGGGGCCGTAAATTAGAGGCATCAGGGCTTCGCAGGCTCCGAAAAGTGAATTCAGTTTTCCTAAAACCGAAAAAAAAAGTTGCTTCAAAAAAGCTTCATAAATATTGGGTACATTCAGGCGGTCCCAGCGGCTAAGCTCAGCCACTCAGCAGGAACTTTATTCTCGAAACCAAGGAACAGTGTTCTCATAAGAACGATTTTTCTGTCTTAGGCCGGCATATACACACGTTATTTCGCGCGGTTTATCGTGTCATCTGCAAAAACCTGTGAAAAATCATATGCGTGAGTGAGGAGGGCTGCACGCAATGATAGGATGGGAAGGGATTTCACACGTGCTTTCATGTGGCGTCAGTACATGATAGTGCAGTTCACAATCGTGTCCATGTGCCATTCCATGTCACGGTTTTAAAGCTAGTACGGAGACATAAACGCCGCGTAGCGAACAAGCGAACTATCAGATGACAACATGCACTTCCAAACGACACGATAAATGACACTTTTCACCCATACACATACGGTTTTTCCTTTCCATCCGATATGCCGCGCGTAATCACGTGCTAAATCATTTGAATACTTTGTCAAGTGTATGGAACGTGACGCTTTTTTTGCCACGCCGTTGTTTCGCTCGTGCAAACCGCTACATCCCAACTCGCCACGATAAACCGCGCAAAATAACGTGTGTGTATGCCGACCTATTGTCAGTGTTATGCCGGACGACAAAGACATAACCTTCGTTCTCATGAAAACACTGCTCCCCTTTTTCGAGAATAAAGTTCCCGCTGAGTGACTGAACTAAGCCGCTGGTACCGCCTGAATGTATCCATTAACTCGAAAAACTTACCTAATTCGTCTGATGGTACCAGTTTTGAAGCTATAGATCTCATTGCGATAAACGAGGTGCCGTTTAGAATTTCCACGATTGCGCCTATGGAGAATGAAATGGAATTAAAATTGATTAAAAAACAACAGTAAATAGTAGTAAGTATATAAATAGAAAATCACGAAATCAAATTTCCAAGACTGAGAGCGTCATTTTCACTTTTCACAGTTGTTTGAAAAATGTCTTATTATAGTACCTACTACTTACCCAAATAAAATACTAAAGACGTTGTGGCGAATCCATAAACAAAACTGGACAAAATCTTACTCATTGAAGAGTAAATCCCAATTATACCGTCATCTATTTTCAAATGGTGACTGAAAACTCCTACAGATACAGATGTTCCTAAAAAATAATAAAAGAAAATTGAATACCTAAAATTGTGTGATAAAATATGGCTACAATGCGTAAAATATTACATTACTAAACGATTCAAATTTTATTATAAAAAAAAATACATAACCGATTTAAAAGTACCTAGAACCTTGTTTTTGACAATTCACGCTATTTAGTACCTACATAAAAAAAAGTTAATCTTACACCATTATATAATTGAATACAAGGTTAACAACAATGAAGTTATAAACCACAAAACCAATGATAATTTATTAAATGAAAAAAATTATTCTAGCGTATCTAACTTGGCTGTAAACCCTATTAGAAATTTGTTTTATTTTACTAATTACCTATTAAATTGGTGATCATTCCGTAAGTCGAAAACATACTATAGTCCACTTCATCCCAATTAAAACGATATCTGGTGAAGAGGTAGTTCACATTCATTTCACCTGAAACATGAAAATGACAAAGATTTTGTATAGAAATATTCGAGCAAAATAATTATAAAAAACTAAGACCCAACATCATCCCTTGAAAAATGCAAACTACTTTTAAATCTTTGCTGGTTTAAAACAAATTTATAAATCTGAATTTTTTGTTTAATCAATTTCTTCTTTTACCTTTCTATGTCTTCTAGTTGAACATTTTCTAGGTCCTAGACAAATCAACATCTATTAAAAATTCTTTTTGTTTCATGATAAAATTCGAACATTTTACTCAATTTTTCTAATTATTCTTGGTTCTGAATCAATCAGGTGATAAGTGCGGGTTGATTCTATAAGGCTTTCAACCGATTTTTTTTTCTCTAAGCTCAATATCGATAATTGAATATCTACGTGCATCATCCTCTCAAGTATTGCAAAATTCCCGATAAAGAAAAAAATCTTAATTACCTCATTCCTAATAAAATAATACCGCTGTTTTGGTTGCACAATCGTTGTTTGGCATTTAAATTCATACTTCAATAAGTTGGTCATATACCCCGGATTATTAGTCAATATTGCATGTATATTTTTTCAATAATTATTATGCTAGGATTAGAATCAGCAAGGTGAATTATGAGATTATTTACCTTGTGATTGGTGTGTTGTTTATATTTAATATCGTATAAAAGGTTAATTCATTCACTAGTAATGAAATGATTTCGTTTTACCAACAAAATCTAATAATGTATTGTGAAAAATAGTAGGTACCTACCTATTTAAAAATGACGATTTTGATAGTAAAATTACCAGAAAAACAAAAGGGAAAGAAGGAAACTAATAGAAAACTTATAGACAATTATACCTATTGGGCATAAAACCAAAATATTAGTTTACAAATTCATATTTACTTACCATGCATGGGTCCAATTACAACCATAACAACCAACATAAGAAGCATAACCTTCATTTTCCGATTGTTCGGTCCGGCTTTGAAGGCCACTTTGAAAGTGTCCACCAAATGCCTGACGTCGAAAAAGTCCCTGAAGAAGGCGCAAGGAACGCTTTTCAAAACGGGCTTGTCGATTTTCTTGGGCTCCTTGATTTGCGTGTAACCGTAATAGAGTGCCATCACGTACATGCAGGAAGATATCGAAAAGACGCCATAAAAACCAATTTTTTTGTATAGGACTCCGCTTAGGGCCAAGCCTATAGGGATCCCCAGAGAGCAGAAGACGTTTACGATTCCAATTCGTAATGTTCTCGTATCTACCGTCGTGACATCGGCGATGTAGCTGAAGACTCCCATGAACATTGTGAACCAACCACCAGTCATTGCTGGAAAGAAATGAAATAATTTAATATAGATTCTTGCCAGAAGAAAATCTTTAGAGGAGAGAGGAGAGAAAATGCTGGAAACACAACTAATCAAAGAGAAAAAAAAACTAATAAAGTGAGTGGTAAAAGAAAAAAGATTAAAAAAAGCAAAAACAAATTGCAAAAGAATAAACAAAACAATATAGAACCTCTTCGTTTGTACTAACTTTTGTGAAAAGAGCGGTAGGAAAAATGCTAAAACAAAAATGAAAACAAAAGCTGGGAAAAAAGGTGAAAGGAAGGGCCGCACAAAAAAAGATTTGAAAACAAGGAAAAAGCTTGAAAAAACCTAGAAAAAGAACGAGGGAGAAAAGCTGGAGAAGAAGAAAGAGAAAGCAAGAAACAACATAAGCATAAAAAAAAAAAAATTCTTGGCTCTCCTTATATTTTTGATCCGGAGGGAATTTCCTAAAAGTGAAATGTAAACTTTTTCATTTTAAGTTCTTATATTTTCATTATTTGTTTTATTCCAGGCTCTTGAATTTCTATTTTTTTAATTTATTTTTTGTAGTTTTTCTATTCTTTGTTTTATTATAGTATTAAAAAGAGATAAATATGCTTTTGGTCTGATCAAATACCTACAAAGACATTGTTATCCTCATTTTTTTTCTTCCATGCTTTTTAATGGTTTAGGTATTTTTTATTTCAGTGTACACTTTATTGTTTGGTTTTTGTTTCCTTTTAACCCCCTATCTTGCACCCTTTTACAGCTTGCGAGGAAATAAGGTAATTACAGGGAGTAAGTACCATTCATGGACAACGATATATCCAAAATTCAAAGTGACACTATGCTTAGATTTTCTGTAAATAGTATATTGTTGTATTAGAAGAAGAAAGCTTTACTTCTTTATGCTGAAGCACAGAAAAGTGCTTCTACTCCGTATGCAACACGCTATTTTTTCTCCAAACGAATGGGGTTAAATGAATGGTTGAGCGGCAGTAAAAGTACAAGCGGCACTAAATAGTTATTCATGATATAAGTGCTAAAAGTGAAGTTTGGGACACAACGCCGAAGGCGGAGTGTTCCATCCCTTTGAACAAAATAAAATCACTTTTAGCACGAATGTCATACACTATTTTTTCTACAAACGCACTAAAAGTGATTACTTTTAGCACTCAAATTTTACTTACTTTTAGCACTGAGTGCTAAAAGTAATCACTTTTAACACCAGTGTCATAAAATGGCATTTTAGACACTGACAGTATCCGTTAAAAATGACATTTTTAGTGACGTTTGTGGAAAAAGTACTTTTACTGCCGCTGCGGTTGCCTAGCCGCATAGAAATCAAATTTCTAACATCTTCACAGGTGTAAATAAAGTGACATTTTTTTGACGTTTGGAGAAAATAATCATTTACTTTGACGATTCAGGCTAAAATTTGGTTTTTGTATCCTTTTGCGAGTAAATAAGATAATTTTAGGGAGTAAGTGCTATTCATGGACAACAATATATCCAAAAAGTTGTCTCAAGCTGAGAAATTCAAGAATTCATAAGCTGTCTCTATCCCTGATGGTTCAAAGAAAGCGCTACAAATGGCCTACTAGATTTTTTCAAACTGTTAAAGTTGAAGTGCTTTAATTTTTCTACCCAAGAGATATTTGGAAAGTGTGGAGGTAATTCACTCTGAATGACTCTATTTTTGTTGCACTAAAATAATCACATGAGAGAGGATGCAACTTAACGAAAACGCTATAATTGACTAACCACATGGAATGTCAAAGTTAAGGTAATTCTCTTCGATGTAGAACTTTATCTTTTTTCTCTCAATGGGTACGTACGTTCACCAACACTCAACATGTTGAGTGAATAGTAGGCGGATTTGTTCCAACAAGTGGAATACACAAGGTAGAACAGTTTTTATTGGCTTAAAGCTGATTTTCATCTGTTTTCAACAAAGCGGCTAACTAATCACTCAACATGTTGAGCGCTGGTGAATGCGTCCAATGATTTGTTTATTCCAGGCTCTTGAGCCCCTCCCTATTTTCCTAAGTTTTTCAATTCAAGAGCCGGGAATAAGAAAACTATTAATTTTGTCTTGCCTTTTCTATTCCAGGCTCTCAAGCTGAAAAATTCAAGATTTCATAGGCTGTCTCTGTCCCTGATGGTTCAAAGAACGCCCTACAAATGACCTACTAGATATTTTTCATCTGTCAAAGTTGAGGTGCTTTCATCTTGCTGCGCGGGACCTCTTTGAAAAGTGTGGAGTGAATTTACTCTAAATGACTCTGGTTTTGTTGCACTATAAAATAACCACATGAGAGAGGGTGCAACTTAACGAAAACGCTATAATTGACTAACTACTTGTTAAAATGTCAAAGTTAGTTAAGGGTTAAGGTGTTTTATTTTCGATGTAGAAATTTATCTTTTTTGTCTCAATTATTTGTTTATTCCAGGCTCTTGGAGCCCTACCGTGTTTTCTCTAGTTTTTCAATTCAAGAGCCGCGAATAAGAAAACTATTAATTTTGTCTTGACTTTTATCTATTCCAGGCTCTCAAGCTGTAAAATTCAAGAATTCATAAGCTGTCTTTGTCCCTGATGGTTCAAAGAAAGCGCAATAATTGGCCTACTAGATTTTTTTAAATTGTCAAAGTTGAGGTGCTTTCATTTTGCTGTCCGAGACTTAATTGAAAAGTACCGGCGTATACAAGGGGGGGTAATGGGGGTAATTACCCCCCCCCCCAAGATCGTTGCGATGGCCCATGATACTTGGCCAACAGTGTTACCAACTCTGAACCAAGACTGTCCACTAGAAAAGAGGAATCTCTTTTCCACTAAAACCCACTAGGAGAAAAGAAATGGCGCCGCAAGCGAAATTTTTTTGGATTAGTGGAAAATCTACTAAATTTTTCTCACTCTTTTTCGAAATTTTTAGCACTTTTTTATTGTTTAATGGCCATTTACACCGACCATAATGATTTTTAAAAATATGGATACTCAGCGCCATCTAGGACCTAGGTATCATCTACCATGTTGTTGTGTTAGTCTCTTTTCTATTCTTTGTCTCGATTATGTTACAGCAGCATGCCCTGATTGCCCTGCGTTTTTATTCCCATCAAATTTTACTGATGGATCCACCATTCTATGTCGGTCATTGTCATTTTCTATTCACTAAACAAAGATAGCAAACTCGTCGGTGAAGTAACCGATTGGGATAAAACGAGGGGAATGAGGGGATCTTTATAAAACATGAAAGCTGAGTTTGCTTGACTTGTAGTTTGAAAGTGACAATGTTGACAGTTGAAAGCATCATTGACAATATTGACATACCTACAATATGACAGGTCCGCAAAAAAAATATGTCAAGGATAATACACACTACTACTACAGGATGACCTATCCTCATTAAGTCTGTGTGTAACAAATCTCCCCCACGCCAAATCACTCGTTGTGACGTATAAACAGCATGTTATTTCTCGCCTTGACGTAGGCTGTTTAAACAGCTGACGACCTAGTTATGACGTCGAAAACGGTGACACGCCAATATGGCGGTGATTACCAGAAATGAGGCCGATAATCAATCCTGTAGGTGTGTACCATCCTTGAAAATATGCTGCCTTCTGTAAATTAACAGGAATCCTATACAAATACGTTATTTCGAAATTTTAAAAAAAGCATCGAAAACTAATGGAAACGAAGTATAGCCTAGTACTCATAACCAGGGACCTGGACCGGAACGATATTGGACCGAAAACCGGAACGAAACCGTTTTTTTTTTTTTGCGGACCGGAACCGGAACGGAACCCATATTTCATAGAAATCTTGTAGGGCAGGCAGAACCGGAACCGATATAAATGAATCGGTTCTTACCGGTATTTTTCGGTTCCAAGATTTTATAAATTAAGCTGTTTGCTGTTTGGTTGTATCATAATAAAATTAACACTTTAAAAAACAGAGCGTTGGACATTGGACAGCGCGCATTTCTGAACTCGGCTAGGCTATACACCAAGGATTTTGCATACTACTACAGGATTGCTCATCGGCTTCGATTTTTGGAATCAAGTTCATATGTTGTTGAACCGTAGCGGACGTCATCAACGGTCTCGTTAGCGGTTTGCGTTCGTAGTTAAAAATATACATGTATGATGAAAAATATAATTTAAACTTGATTGACAAATAGTCAATAGACAAGAGGAAGATGCAAATGAGATCTAAACAAGAGTTGTTTTAGAATATTAAATAATGTACAATGTACTATGGTTCTAAACCGTTTCGAAATACAATCCAATCCACGTTTTAAATCCATTTCCTCGTGCCGAGAAATTATGACGTCATTGTGAAACTAATTTAAGCCAGTTTTGGAAAATGTTTCAAAACTTTGAGACGCGAGAAAATACCTCATAATCCGTGGTGCAACTGGCCAACTGGTGCAAGCACTAGGTCAAGGCGAGAAACGAGACGCTGTTACGTCATCACTGATCGAAAACACAAAAATTTATTTCATTAATAGTAATTGACGTTTTCAATTAAAAGAGATGGACAATAAAGTATGAAAACAATAATTTTCCCGCCAACATTTGCTTGCTTGTCAATGCCAGTGTGTATTGGGTGTTTTGAAAGAAAATGTGGGAAAAGTCACTATTTCATTTGCAGAACTTCGCTATGGAGAAACCGGTGGATTATTTTGGAAGCAAACAGCTCCCGCAAACTGAACTTGAACGTGGACTACTTTGTATACTTCATAGGCCGTGGATTTCCCTTTTTTTTGCGAGTATTCTTTCTGATTTTATGTATCCAAAGTTTGATAAATGTAGGATTTGATGGAAACTGATGGAAAGACACGTCCGCCGGTAAATAGGAATTATTTTTACAAAAAGGCACACTACACAATCACCATTGTTAGGAAAAAACTTTGAAAAAACCGAGGAAATAATAGTTTCCAGTTTCTACATGTACAAAAGTCTTGTCAACAAACCACTGTCAGCGGCTGTCAACCGTTGTTTTCATACTCTTTTGGCGTCTGACAGTTTGACGCCAGAGAGAGAGGCTTTTAAATTGAAAAGGTCAATGAACCGGAACGGAACCGATATTTCATTTCGGTCCGGGTCCCTGCTCATAACTGCGAAATTCGCATTTTTTTGACATTTCGTTGACAATTTGACGTTTTATGCGTGTATCAAACGTCAAATTGTCGAAGCAATGTCAAAAAAATGCGAATTTCGCATTTATGAGTACTAGGCTTATCGAATGTAATACCACAAGAGGTTTCAGGATTACCGGATAATACTTTTACCTGTCACGAAACGCGTTACGCAGTAACACCACGACTCCGAAGGAGGAGTGGTGTTGCTGGTAACGCGTTGAGTGTCAGGTAAAAGTATTAGGTAATCCTGAAACATCGAGTGGTATTCAAAAGGTTATACAATGAACTAAATTTTAATACTTTGAAATTTAAAAAAAAAAATCTATAATAGAATTTGCTATAAATGCCACCAAGCGCGATAATCCCAAAAGGCTTATCACTTGTTAAGCCTCTCGTGTCATATGGGAATAATGTACAGTGAGTTGTATAATCACTAAAAATCATTGAGCTAAAAATTCACTAGAAACCGTGGATCCCATTCCCATTCCCATTAAAATTACCACTATAGTGGAATTTGCTAAAACCATTCCACTAGACGACTTTCAAATCCACTAGAACTAATGGAAATTCTACTGAGGTTGGCAACACTGTTGGCCAATCCATAAAACCGATACTCCTTTTCCTATTGTGTGGTATTGTGTAAATCGACCTTTCTTATCACTTCAAAAATGACAAAAAGAGTCAAGTCAGAGTCATCTTTAAACCAAACATAACAAAAACCGAATTTTCGCGACAAACTACTTCCATGATTCCATGAACTCAAACGCTTTTGCGAGAAACTCATGACGTCATATTAAACGGAAGCATGGACGCAACTTCAAACTCATGACGTCACAAAGGAACTATTGATGAACTACATTCGTCGCGAAAATTCGGTTATAAAAACATTTTGCATTTACTTTTTATCAGCTTTGACATTGATAAAAACTGTCTGACATAAGTTTTTCAGAAGATAATTTTTGTTGTTAAGCCGGACTCCCACTCAAACTAGGCCAATTTAAAAAATAGGGAGTGAACCCTACGCCTACCGGTAGATCCTTTATCATCCAACGATCGTACGCCTACCAGTAGGCCCTTTTTCATCCACCGATTGTGCGCCTACTGGTAGGTTCCTTCTTCGTCAATTGATCAAACGCCTACTGCAAGGTGTTTTATTTATTTCTTTAGAATCCGTATTATATATCCTACCAGTCAGCTCTTTCTAATGCTGAATGTGTGAATTAAATAAAATTTTGTTTGTAGAATCGTCAATAAGAAATTTGTCCACTGAGTAATAGGCCTTTATTAGTAGGTACCTACCTAACATCTTTCTAATTTGGACTTTAAACTTGTTGATGTTTGGAAACTGCTTCATTCTACAAGGTAACCTATTGAAAATCGTTTTGCATACACCTTGAAATTATTTTTGAGACTTCGATTGCTCGCTACGCACGCCAAAAACATTTTTCAAATATATCACCTTCTTTGAAAATCTTCACTGGATAAATAATATTGAAACTCGAAAACGAAAAATTTTGTAAAATTCAATAAGCCCAAATGAACAACGATCATGGCGTCCTCTTTTAGACCCTTTGTCAAAAACCCTCCACCTGTTACCCCTCGTTTTTATTCTCATCGGTGACTTCACCGGTGAGTAACCTATCTTTGTTTAGTGAATGGATAATGACAATGACGGCCATAGAATGGTGGATCCATCGGTAAAATTTGATGAGAATAAAAACGCAGGGTTATTTGGGTAACTATGACGTCATGAATCGTAGTATGATGTTTACTGGTCGCTAAAATACGTCTGAGCTTTTGTTTCCCTACAGACTTGTTTTCTAGTTTGTACTGCGTCCGCACTGCCCGCATGCCATTTATAGTGAATTTTATTGAAAGGAATAGTGCGCACTTAGTGTATTCGTGTCCTTTTCTACTAGCTTGCATAAGAAAGAGATAAAAATACATTTTTTGCACTGGTTCTACCTACATAGAATTCGCTATAATTTGAAAGTTTTTGGGAAATCCCATAGTTTGGTTTCGTTATTTGTTGGTAGTACAGAAAATTTGTTTTGAAGGCTCAAAATAAACGTTTTTGGGCGTGGCACCTGGTAAAAAAAATTTCGTCTCCGGCGGCGCATGCGGCGGGCTGATTACCCCCCAGACGCATGGGCTGAATACCTACGCCGGTATTGAAAAGTGTGGAGTCATTTAATCCGATTGACTAGTTTTGTTGCACTTGAAATCACGACATAAGGGAGGGTGCAACTTAACGAAAACGCTATAATTGACATGACTACTTCAAATGTTAAAGTTCAAGTGTTTTTTTTTTTATGTAAAACATCATTTATTTGTAGTCTCAATTATTTGTCTATTTCAAGACTGGGATCACGACAAGTAGAATTCTACTAGAATTCTACTTTCATGACGTCAGATTGACTAGCAACCATAATCATCGCCTGTACTGTACGCGATAAATAGGTCGCGGACAAACGCGGATGACATCATGAAAGTAGAATTCTACTCGTCGTGATCCCAGCCCAGGGGCTCTTGAGCCCCTGCCTGTTTTCTTTAGTTTTTTAATTCAAAAACCAGGAATAAGAAAATTATTAATTTTGTCTCCACTTTTGTCTATTCCAGGCTCTCAGCTGAAAAATTCAAGAAATCATAAGCTGTCTCTGTCAATGATTATTCAAAGAAAGCGCTACAAATGGCCTACTAGATTTGTTAAAACTGTCAAAGTTGAGGTGTTTTCGTTTTGCTGCCCGAGAATTATTTGAAAAGTGTGGAGTGAATTTACTCTAATGTGAGTTCTTTTTGCTTTGCAGATGAATTTTAAAAAGTCGACCAATCAAAGCACAAGACTGACAACTTTAAAATGTCATTAACGCCTTCTTAAGGTAAAATATGAACTGTTTTTGTAGTCTAGAGTGGGCAACTTTTTCTTTCAGAGCGGGCATTGCTCACTCTAGCCCCCCCTAGCTATGGGCCTGCAGGGAGGCAAAATAGCCATATAAAAGCAAAAGAAAGATAGAAAGTAAGCTACAAGCCTAAAAAGCAAGAAAATTACGTAGAGAAAGTATAAAATAAACGGGAGAAAGTTAAGAAAGAGTAAGACTAGTAACAGTAACTTCAACAAGGTGAGCTAAAAAAAGATTACCGTATAAAGATGGCAAGGACATTCAGTGAAAACAATTTTTAATAATTTCGTGCTAATTCCAAAACCAACAACATTGACTCAACCACAACCAAAAATTACCCATCCAAGTGCTAATTAAATACCACGCCGATATTTACCTGATATAAAAACAAAAATCCTTACCTGGGAAAAGTCCTTCGATAAATCCGGCAACTTCCATAGGAAGTTCGTAATAGAAATACGTGCAAACGATTAGGCCTATCGACGTGAGAAGTTCGCCGAAAATCGGTAGCAGCATGCAAGGCTTCCTTTTGCCCCAGCGGTCGCTCCACGAACCCACGAACATTATCAGGAAGGCTGGCAGAGCACTTTGGAGTATCGTTTTCCATACGCCCATCGAAGCGACCAACTGTTGGACTTCTTGTTCTTCATAAGTATAATTTTCTAAAAAAGATTTTTTTATGTTTATAGGAACTAAAATTGAACTTACGAATACAAAAAAAAATAAATTAATTACAACACGAAGTTGTAAGTGTCATCGAGAAGATTTTAAAGATGTTGACTTTGGGGGGGTAAAAATGGCCAACAATTTAATTTAAATAAATTTGTCGTTTTCATTCGGTGCAAACCTGCTTTTTGGTTATATAGGTACTGAAGTTACTTAACCGTGAACTTTACTCATATAATTTGAACAAGCTGCAATTCCACGGGAATCTGCTTAATTGGGTTTCCGCATTTAAACCGGCTCTGTCATTAATTGATGCCTCTTGATTTCTTTTTTCTTCAGTTTATTTTGTAAATAAATTATACTCACTTTACAAGGTAGGTACTTGCAATGCCAACTGAATCTTAACCGCGCGAGATGCGCGAGATTAATTTTCCTTTCACTGTGAATTTTCAATTTTTGCAAGGAACTTTGAAAGAGTTAAAGGAGTGAAATTCTTACCAGTTTTCCTAGCACTAAGAGCATCACAGACTTCAGTTGAATATCCTAAGTTAACGCGGCAAGCTTTTTCTAAATTTAAATTTTGCGTGGCCAAGCTGGCGAAAACGCTCGGTATAATGTAACAGGCCAGCATCGGTTCGACTGTGATGTTGCCCTTTAGAAAATCCCATCTTTCCTTCCACGTCATCGATTCTACGCTTTTCTCGTCGTCCTTTTCGGTTTTTTCTCCCGACTTTTCGCCGGAGGTTTTCGACATTTTCGTCTTTTTGAGGACCTGAAAACAACAACAATAGATGATTTTGATTATAGAAGGAAACAAAAATTCAAGTGCTTAAAAACGACAAAAGTTGAGAATAAAAGAAAAAATTAGCAAAAGAGAAATATAATTTATTTTCGTTTAAAGTTTTTATATTTTCATTATTTGTTATCTTATTTGATTCTTGAGTTTCCTTGGCTTTTTTAGTTCTAGCTTTTGAATTTTCCTTATTTTTTTAATCTAGTTTTTTTTTGTTTGTTTTATTATACTAGTATTTATTGAAAACAAATAAATACAATTTTTCCTCAAGATTTTTTAATTTTTTTATTCCGGGCTCTTCGCTTTGGAATTTCTCACCCATCAGCCATTTTTAAATTGATCTCTCATTTCTTCCACGAACATATTTTAAAATAATAAATGTATAGACGAAACATGAAAATATAGTTCCAAGCAATGGTTTCTTTGTTTCCACCAGCATTCCTTCACGTGCTTGGAAGTACCATTCCTTCACGTACTTGGAAGTACCCTTTGTTTGATTATTTTTGTATATAGTATAATAGTATAAAGTTAGATGATTACGAATATTTTTGGGCGAAGTAGTCTGAAATATATACGCTCTTATTGTTAACGTATTGGAGTTTGATTAAAATTAGTTTACAGTTCAGGTGTGGTGTAATTCGGGTGCGACTACAGTTTGTTGTTCAAATATTATTGAACTTTAATAAGCGTTCAAGTTTATTTAAAGTTTTGTGTTTATTTTGTCACGAGGGCAAGGTTCAAGTTCACAAGATTCAAGAAGACGTTCGAAATCGCGTGATGGAAAACTTTCCAAATCGCCTGATGGTACCTACCTCTAACAGATGTTCTAAATTGCGATGATCTCGTTCTATAACGCGCAAAAATGATTCAGAAAACGATCAGAATCACCTGTTAGCAGAACCGTCAGAACATACATGCCAGAATCAAGGAAACATCAAAAACCAAATCATTCAACTTCAGGAAAATATGTAAGGTCTCGAGTTGTTGAGGTTTAACAGCAACGTCAGCTACATATCTTTGTATTTCGAATTCTCCTGAATAAAACAATTCTGAAACGACACAGGAACCAATCCAAAGGTTGGAAAATATGGTCGAAAAATTAACTGGACAAACACAATCAATTGGAAGTAGATCTGAAGTGCCTAGATTAACTGTTAAAAGTGATTGCATACCTGAATTCTCCACGGAAAACGATATTTGACTTCACGACAGTGGCTTTTCAAGATTGATCAATTAAAAGCCATTAACCATTGGGACGATATTACAACAATTTACCATATGCAGTCAAGATTGGTGGGCATGGCAAAAACATGGTACCACAGTTTACCTATAACTACAACTGTACTTGGGAAAAATGGAAAACTCTTCTTAAACGTAGTTTTCCAGACCATACTGATTATGCGACTCTTCTGCAAACAATGCTGAATCGAAAGAAAATGGTATCTGAATCGATGACATCGTACTATATTTTGCAAAGATGAAACTCCTAAGAAGCTGCCGCGTTTCTGGAAAAGAAGCAGTTTCCTAATGGAATAGATGATCCAGTTATTCAAAATAGTGTCAGAGCTGGACATTACCAAAACCCAGAAAACCTATACGAAGAATACTTGTCAGCACTAAATATTGATATTTATCCAAAACAAAAAGACTACATAAGAAATGAGCAAAATAAATTTGAAACAAAGTGTCAACGGGGATATATAGCTTCAAAATTTTCAATGCCTAGGAAGGAATGTAGAAAATGTGAGTTATTGGGACACGAAGAAAAAAATTGTCCAAAGCAAAATTTCTACAAACCTGGTAAGTCTAAATCTATTTTTAATATGGAAACAGCTCAAAATAATTGTGAGACAAATGTATGTTACTTTATCGATTGCTCTATAAATCAGAATATTTTATGTGGATATGTCGATTCCGGCAGTAGTGTCGTTACTTTACGTCTAAGCCTCAGGGTTACAACTACATCTTGTACCGAAATATCTGAGTGGATTTGCAGGAGGTTCTTTAATTGTAAATCATAAAGTGGTCATTGATCTAAGTGCAGCAAAAGTCGAAGCTCTTGTTGTACCCGATCATGCACAAAAGGTTTCAATAATTGTTAACCAGCCTTTTATTAATCACCCAAATATAAGCATGGTGACAACGTGGAGGTCAGGTTAGACTTTTCAATTCGAATAATATGCCACCTCCAGAACTTGATAATTTAATTTGCCTCCTCGTAAAATTATTTTTTGGGCGAAGGAGAAATGTGACCAATATTTCTTTATATTCTAGTAAAAATGTCAAAGAGGTATTTATTAATTTGCAACAAAGGCAGTTTCATGTGAAACCTCCGTTGTATCACCGATCTGTGGAAGAGTGGTTTAGTGCTGATTTTAAACATATCAGAATATCCATCAGTTTGTTATGAAAAAGATCGAGTAGTAGCATGAGGGTTATTGTATAATCCTGAAAGTAATTTTGATGAAATAAATGTTTTCTCCATGAATCAAGAATCTGTGCAAGATTATTCTTTAGAAGATTCAGAAAATGTTATCAGGACTGACATTGATACACTTCTTTCTTTGCCTAATAAATACAGAGACTGTTTTGCTACAAGTATGTCTGAGCTAGGGAAGATTAATATTGCTGAAAAATGCATTGATTTGAATGACAAAACACCTGTTACTTATCGACCATATCGTTAGCCTTTGCTGAGCGGGAAAAAGTCAGAGAGATAGTTCGAGAATTACTTGACAATAATATCATCAGAGAATCTTCTTCTCCTCATGCCAGTCCAATTTTATTGATGCGTAAAAAGAACGGCGAATCGCGTATGTACGTAGATTATCGTGCTTTGAACGCTAAAAATATTAAGCATAAATATCCTCTGCTGCTCATTGATGATTTACTGAATGAGCTCAAAGATGCTGGATACTTTACTAGATCTTTTGCTTCTGGATATCATCAAGTGCCAGTTGCCTCGAATTCTATCGAAAAGACAGCTTTTATAACCCCCGATGGCCATTACGAGTATGTAACTATGCCATTTGGTCTCGTAGATGCACCTGCAGTCTTTCAGAGGGCAATTCCTAAAATTCTAGGTTCTTTACGTTATACTACAGCTATGGCGTACCTAGATGATATTTTAATACCGTCAACGGACGAAAAAAATGGATTCACGAATTTAGAAAACGTTCTAAAACTCCTACGTGAAGCCAATATGACATTACGTTTTAATAAATGTTGATTTTCCTTAAGTCGAATAAGTTATCTGGTACATGAAATCTCCTATGAAGGAATCAAACCTGGATCCGAAAAGATTGAATCTGTACGAGATTTTCTAACATCGACAGACGTACATACAATTATTGTTAATGTGTTGGAGTTTGATTAAAATCAGTTTACACAAATAAAACATATACTTATATAATAAAGTATTTTTAAAAAAGGCACGCCTATCATGTTTACCTATTAAAACGACATATAGGTACCTATTAAGATAAGATTTGCTCAAAAGTCAAAATTACCTAAGACTTTCTTTAATGAGCTATTTATCTCGAAAAAACAATTGTAAAGTAGTTGGCCTGCCACGATTACCTATTTTATTTTATCGTAAAAAGTATAAAACGATTATTCTACTTTTTGGTTATTTAGTTTGAATATTGCGAAAATATTCTCATTTAGCTTGAAATGATTATTAGAATATGGATGCTTATTAATTAAGAAAATCTTCCCGTTTTGATGAAAATCACTAAAATTTTCATTTTTAAATCTGATTCTCGTGTCAATAATTAAATTGATTATTTCCAAATGTAAAAAAGTAGGTAATTCATAGGAAACGCCAATAACTTTAATTAATGTTAAATTCTAGAACTTAATTATTCGCATTACGATTGGGAATTATGACTTTTATTAAAATGCTTTGTGAATAATGGTCGAATGATTAGACCTTGTATCATCTATCATTAATTAAATGTATGTATTTTGATTTGCAATAAAATATAGAGATTTTAAGGAAAATTGCGAAAGAAAAAATATACAGAGTGTTACAAATTGACAACTAAGTATGAGAGATTTCGGTAGGTAATTATAAGACATACAGGGTGGGTTGGTTTGTTGGGCAAAATATCGCTGATTATAATAGGTAGTTGAAAACAGGAATTTGTTTATATATTTTTTTTTATTTTTTTAAGAATACATTTTTAATTCTCCCAGAGAAGGGTTGAAGCAACAGTTTGTGAATTTTCGATTAATTGAAAATGTTCAATTTTGTGGCTCAATTACTCAAAAAGTATCCGAGCTCTGAAACTCAATTTAACACAGATTTGATTTAATGCTCTTTTCAACGGTGTATAATTTATTTTGATTGGCTCAAATTTCAATAAAAATATTGTCAATTTTTCTTAACCCTGTCAGGATTTTTATAAATTGAAATTTTTTTTTTTGATTTTTTTTTGTTTGAAATAGCCATTTGAAGATGATGTTATATTGTTTTTCGATTACGCTTTCTCGATTGGAAAAATTAAAATTCGGAAAATATGAAAAAATAGAAGTTACAATTTTTTTCAAAGAGTCAGTGGGATTCTTATTTCAATATCTTTGAGCTTCAATGTCTTGAAATCCGTTAGAGATATTGGATCAAAATTTTCAGGAATTGTAGCTCCTATTAAGCTCTAAAAAATCTGTATTGGAAAATATTTTTCTAGTTTTTGAAGAAACTGAGTTTGAAATTTTTACTTTTATTTCTGAAACTATAAGTCCAAATGAGCTGAAATTTTCAGAGATTGCAGTCCTCTACTGGGATAAGAATCGCTAAAAATGTCAGCTTTCTATCTATAATAGAAAAAAAGTTATGACCTTTCAAAGTTTTCCAAAATCTAAATCATAAGGTAGCTACCTACCTCGGTACTAAAACGATGAAATTTCATTTTTTTTTTTTTTGTAGAGATTCTGTATTTTAATGGTCCTTTTGGATCCCCCAAACTCCATACACTAAATTATTCTGAGATTTGGAGATGAATTCTATGAAAAAAGGCACTCAGAAAAATTGATAAATCACCCCAAATTGATAAGATTCGCTGGATATTTCAGCTTTCTATCTATAATGAAAAAAAAGTCATGACCTTTCAAAGTTTTCCAAAATCTAAATCATGAGGTAGCTACCTCAGTACTAAAACGATGAATTTTTTTTTTTTTTTTTTGAGATTTTGTGTCTTTATGATCCTTTGGGACCCCCCAAACTCCATACACTAAATCATTCTAAGATTTGGTGCCAAATTTTATGAAAAAAGGCATTCAGAAAAATTGATAAATCACCCCAAATTGCTTAACACGATTTTATTTGTGGAATTATAAGTCCAAATGAGCTGAAATTTCCAAAATTTCCACTTATTAATTTTGACAATTTGTATGCAAAATTTCCAGTAGTAATATAACTACACCATTTCCAATAGTATTTCAAAATGGGTCAAATGTATTTCAAATTAATCAAATGTATTTCAAACTGTATCATTAAGGCAGGCCGCATATCAAAGAAACATGAATCGTGAAACATCAAACATGAAACGTAAAACATGAAACAATAAATTACGAAAAGCGAAACCGTTTCTTTCGTGCATACTAATTGAAGAAACAAAAATAATCCTTGTTTCTTGTTGCAAATATAATTATTATATTTGCAAAGTCGTTTCAGGGTAGTGAAGTGTGAAGTAGAGTGTAGTACACAATGGAAAGTGAGGACGAGTTTGTTGTTGCTGTTGTGGCGTCTATTTTATTATCATCAAAAAGCAAAAAAAAAGGAAACGACGTTACTGGGTACATCCATACAATAATATAAATCATAAACATAGCATATATTTGGTTGCAAAGGAATTAAATAATTGTTGATGTGCGGCCTCCCTAAGGGAGGCCGCACATCAAAGAAACATGAAACGTGAAACATGAAACATGAAACATGAAACATGAAACATGAAACATGAAACATAAAACGTGAAACTCGTTTCATGAAAATAGAACAAGAATAAACAAATACAAGTCCGTCCACCAATGAAACAAATTTGTTTCATGCGCGAGAAACATTTTTATTACTTGAAACAGATCGTGTTCTATTTTTCTGTTTCAGTTTCACGGTTTTTGGTCATTAATACATTCATAAAAAAGTTAATTACGACCAAGAATTCAATATTGTGTTAGTTTCAGTGGTAGAGCAAGATGGAGAATTGTATAAGTATAACATGGAGACGTTCTCGAATAGATAATCACAAGAAAAAGCCTGCCAAAATGTTGTCTTACAGGTAAAAAGTACATTATTATTGTATGGATGTACCCAGAAACGTCGTTTCCTTTATTTTTTTGGCTTTTTGACGATAATAGAAAAGTTGCCACAACAGCAGTTATTATTGCTCGTCAACACTTTCCATTTTGTGATACCCTCCATACCCCAAAAGACTTTGCAAACATTATTCTTGTTTCTTCAATTAGTATGTAAAGAGAGAAACGGTTTCGCTTTTCGTAATTTATTGTTTCATGTTTTACGTTTCATGTTTGATGTTTCACGTTTCATGTTTCTTTGATGTGCGGCCTGCCTTATGCTTCAAAAAAAATCAGATGTATTTCAAAATCATCATTTCTCATATCATCAAAAACTGTAAGATGGAAAAATGGCTACGGTCTCTTGAATTATATTTGGCTTCCGAAGATATCACAGACTTCGCAAAGAAGAGAAATAAACTTTTACACCTTGGAGGGACCCAGTTGCAAGAGGTGGCATATAACATCCCCGGGGCCATTGGAACATTTAGTGCCGAGCAGAATAATGATGTCTTCAGAATTTTGGTAGAAAAACTAACAGGGTATTTTTCACCGAAACAAAATTCAACTTTTGAACGCCACCTTTTCAGAAGCCTTAAACCAGAGCAAAATGAAAATTTTAATAAATTCGTTCTACGAGTAAGACACCAGGCTGCTAAGTGTTCATTTGGGAAATCTGCTCAAGAAGCGTTGGAAATTAACGTCAAAGATAAGATCATCGATAGCTGGGCTCCTATCGAATTGAAAAAGAAATTGTTGGAAAAAGAGAGACCACTGGACGAAATTCTGGAATTATGTCAAGTACATGAGCAAATTGGAAGTCAATCTAAAGCTATGGATTCTGTGAACGTGGAGCCTAGTACTTCATTTGCTGTGAATAAAATTCAATTTAGCAACAAAGGCAATACTAATCAATGCACCAGATGTGGAAAATTCCATCATTTAGATAAAGAATGCCCTGCTATCAGCATTAAATGTCACAAATGTGGATTTATTGGCCACTATTCATCTATGTGTAAAACGAGGTTGGGAACAAAACGCTTCAATAATAAACCATTTACATACGAGCCGCCTAACAAACGCAGAAGATCTGGACCCAGAATCAATTTTATAGAAGGTGAGAATGAAGAAACGGAGCAAAACGAAGCCATTCGAAATTTCGAGTGTTTTAAAATAACTGAACACTGCCGAGCAGAGAACGACGATGACCTAATAGAGTGCAACATAGGAGGGGTACCAATGACCCTATTAATAGACTCGGGATCAAAAGTTAATATTGTGAAAGGGGATGACTGGAAGAACCTTACGAAAGAAAACGCTGTGTTTTGGGATGTTGATTCAAAACCTCGAAATAATCTGAAAGGATACGCCTCAGGGAAACCATTAGATGTACGACATAAATTTGAGACAACAATCGCATTAAAAAACAGGGAGGAAATCATAACATCTTTTTATGTCATAGATAAAGGGGATATATCTATATTAGGCAAAGATACCGCTAAACAGTTGGGAATTTTGAAGTTGGGTTTAGACATAAATCAAATTGTGGAGACAAAATCATTTTCTAAAATTAAAAATATTAAGGTTAAATTAACAATTGACCCCTAAGTGAAACCAGTGCGACAACCGGTAAGAAGAGTACCTATTTCAGTCGAAAAGCAAGTCGAGAAGAAGATCGAAGAGGCATTGCTTTCTGATATTATCGAAAAAGTAACTGAACCAAGTGAGTGGATTTCACCAATAGTTGTCATCTTCAAGCCGAATGATGATATCCGCATCTGTGTAGACATGCGGCGGGCGAATGAAGCAATTATAAGGGAAAACTATCCTCTACCTACGTTTGAGTCCTTTATGACGAAGCTTCGAGATGCTAAATACTTCTCACGATTGGACTTAAAAAATGCCTATCACCAGTTGGAGCTTGACGAGGAAAGCCGTCCGATCACAACGTTTATATGTCACAAAGGCATGTTTCGTTATAAAAGATTAATGTTCGGTGTAAATTCAGCTCCGGAAATTTTCCAACGAATATTCGAAGAAATGCTGTTTTCTTGTAGAAACTGTCTTAATTATATAGACGATGTGATTATTTATGGAAGTACTGAAGTTGAACATGACGTGTACCTAAAAAAAGTATTGAATGTATTTTCAAAAAATAATGTGTTATTAAACGACGCAAAGTGTGTTAAGAAAGTACAAGAGCTTTATTTCCTGGGCCATAAACTCTCTAGCAAAGGTATTGAAGCAGATCAAATAAAAGTAAAAACTGTTTTGGACTTCCGACCACCGATAACAAGGGAGGAGACAAGAAGTTTTCTGGGTCTCGTCACTTACCTTGGTAAGTTCATACCAGAACTGGGCACTATAACAGAACCTCTTCGACAGTTAACCAGAGAAAATCAGACATTCCATTGGTCAAAAGCACAGCAAGAAAGTTTCGACAAACTCAAGCATTCACTAGCAAGCCTTCCCACCTTATCCTATTTCGACCCCAAATTAAGAACGCGATTAGTGGCCGACGCAATTCCGGTGGCATTAGGAGCAGTTCTGCTACAGTTTAACAACAAAAATACGCCACAAGTAATATCTTTTGCCAGCAAAAGTCTCTCCTCTGTAGAAAGGAGGTATTCCCAGACAGAGAAAGAGAGCTTAGCTTTAGTCTGGGCAGTGGAGCGTTTTTATTATTACCTATCAGGCTTGGAGTTCGAATTGGTTACAGACCATAAACCGTTAGAGGCTATATTTAAACCATCGTCCAAGCCCCCAGCCA